CCCCCACCCACCACCCCCACCACCCCTTATACGCTGGCGGCCCTAATGAGAGAGCCTTCACTCAGGAATGTGCACAACCCGGCCGAGGCCCCGGGCCCCAGCAGCCTTGTAATTTGATGAATTGTCAACATCTGGGCCGTAATTACTGGGCCCTGGACTGATAATCCTGGTAAGCCCCCTCATCCAGGGCCCCTTCCTGGTGCATTTCAAGGCCTCCGTCCCCTGGCAGAGCCATCACCATTCACTACAACCAGAAAGCAGGACCGTCACCCAGCTCCGCTGGTCTGAGCATTGGCTGCCGTCTGCATCCAGACACGGCCAGTTTATTGATTGAGTTCAATTCAACAGGTAACTCGCTGGAGGGTCAGGAGGCTGGAGCCACCGGCAGGTGTGGGGGCCTCAGCACAGCCCTCTGCTGCAGCCTCCTCCCCGGCTCCGTTTCCTGAGGGACATTGAGACGCTCCAGCTGTGGAGCCCGTATACCCCACGTCCCAGACTTCTACCGAGAAACCTCCTCTCTTTTGCCACCTTATTAATTTTTCTCCAAGGACGGCCCTGTGGAATGCTGGTCAGGAAATACTCCTCGGTGTGAGGGCGTGAGCAGACGTAGGTAGGAAGGCAGAGCTGGTGCCCCCTGCTGGCCACTTGGAGTCACTCCCCAGCACTCCCATCCCCAGGGCCAGTGCAGACCCCATTCTGTGTCAGCTTGCCTGTAGGGCAGTGATGGCGAACCTTTTGAGCTCGGGTGTCAGCATTTTGAAAAACCCTAACTTAACTCTGGTGCCGTGTCACATATAGAAATTTTTTGATCTTTGCAACCATAGTAAAACAAAGACATATTTTTGATATTTATTTTATATATTTAAATGCCATTTAACAAAGAAAAATCAACCAAAAAAATGAGTTCGCGTGTCACCTCTGACACGTGTGTCATAGGTTCGCCATCACTGCTATAGGGTCTCCTGTCTCCGGTTGGTCTGAGAGGAGGACACAGAGGAAGCTGGGGACTGCCTGGGACCCGGGGAACTTGTCATTTGAGAGGAGACGGGCATGACCTCCTTCTTACAGATGAGGAAACTGAGGCTCAAGGGTACTCTGGTCCCTGTGGGAGGTAGGGGCTGCGCAGCAGGGCGGGTGGGGGAGGCTGGGGGGCTCTCTCTGCCTGCCTGACCTGCTTCTCCAGTGCAGCCCCAGGCCTGTTTGCTTCTCACATCCTGAAAAGTCCTGGGCGCAGCTGGCCGCACAGGGACCGAGATGTGTGGGGCTCTGTGCCTAGACCCGAGGGAGGGAAGCCAAAGCAGGAATATCCCTGCTGGGGAGAAGGGCTGAGGCTCAGAAGGGTGGACTGGCTCTCCCAGGGCCACTCAGCAGGCCTGTCTGTCTGACCCAGCACTCTCTCTGGCAAAAGGTCGGGTGGAAGAGGGTTCAGTTAGCCCTGCCTGGGGAAGATCTGCTTCGTGGGGGAGACAGATGTTCCAGGAATCCCGGGAGGAAGGCAAGACTTGTGAGGCTCTGTCCCACAAGTCCCCCAGGACGGCCATCTGTCACCCCCTCTACCCTGTGCTGCAGGAGAGGGAGCGTTGCATGGAGAGTAGGGCTGATTTTAGTCCTCGGACAACCCACTGACTCCTCTGCCTCATCTGTGAGATGGGGCCATGGTGCCTGGCTCCCGGGGCTGCTGTGAGGGCAGGGGCCACGGCGGTACGGAGGCCTCGGTCAAGTCTACAATGAGGAGCATTCATGGAGAGTCTCCCTCTCTGTGGCCCCCAGGGGCAGGGTGCCCTGCACTGGACTTGATCAGGGGCACCTTGAACGCGTCACACCATCCAGGCCCTGAGGCCCCATCCACTGCCGGTGACGTGATGGCTGTGAGGCCCATTGTGTCTTCCCTCCTGGCACACGGAGAGGAAAGAGCCTTAGTTAGTACTAAGCTGCACCTTAGTGTCTTGTAATCCATGCAGATTTATAGAGGGCAGATTTGGGGCTGCATTTGGGCTCAGTTCAGTAGGAGTTACAGACGCACCCAGGGCCTGGGCACAGAGTCTCTGGTGGCGGCCACACTGGGCAAGGTGGCTGGGGACACCTGGGCAGGCGAGGTGCAGTAGGCGGTGGGAGGGAGCAGGGAGGTCTGACAGAGGCATGCAGGGGTGAGAGTGGCTGATCTTCAGGGAGTTCACCGCAGGGTTTAAGTGCAGAGAGAACACAGAACAGAAGTGCTGTCCAGCTCCAGCCCCGCCTGTTCCTGGCTGTGTGGCCTTGGGCAAGCAAGGTCTTCCCCTGGCTGGGCCCGTTTCCACCTGCCTCAGGCTGTTGTGATGATTAAGACCAGGTGTGTGGGCCACTCAGCCACACCGGAGGGGACTTGGGCCCCGTGTGTGTTGCGGCGGCCAGAGGCTGGGCCTACATGAGAGGTCAGCGTAGAAACCCCCATGGGACCATGGCCCTGAGGAGGCCTAGCAGGGTCTGAGCATGGGGGCAGGAGCGGGGCCCATTTTAGGAGACTGCTGAAGGGAGGAGGGCTCTGGCATGTGAATCCAGGAGCCCCCAAGAGGAGACCAGCCAACTGATGGACCTCAGATGATGGGACCTGAACTGTGGCTGGGGTTTACCAAGAACAGGAGTCCCCAGGGCCTGGGCCCCCAAGACTTTGGAATAGGCCACTCCTTCCTTCCCCAGGCCATCACCTCCACATCCACACTCTCCCCCCCCACAGTAAGACTAGTGGCCAGAAGCACTTAAGATGCCAATTTTCAGATCTGCCCAGGTTCCTGCCTGGAGTGAGGCCCTGGTCTGAGTGCATCAAGGGGTGGCCACTCTCGGGGCTGGGGAATCTGAGATTGGCTGCTCAGGGCAGCCTAGAGGTCGAGCCAAGGAAACTGGTCATTTACCACTAGACACAGTAGGCGGGGTACCAATTTCCAGGCTGTGCCAGACCCAAGGATGGAGGCAGGGCCAGGAAAGTCTTCTCAAACAAGAGAGTGTCTCCGAGGAGGAGTCCCTCTCACCAGGGGCCAGGGCAGGGGCAGGGGCAGGGGCAGGAAAGGGCATTGCAAGCAGAGGGAGCAGAGGGGAAAGAAGGAGAGAGCTCAGGGGGACCAGGGACACAGGGCAGCCGAATGGCAGAGCCTGGCTCTGGCCACAAGAGACCCCAGTGCTGGGCCAGAAGTGCAGCCACACTGTTGGAACCACGGGGAGTGCAGGGCAAACCCCTGTGCCGCTGTGAGAGACCAGGGCGGAGGCCATGCTGAGGCTAGCTGCCCCTCCGCTCACCACCCCAGTACGCTCCCTCCTCCCTGCCTTTGCTGGATTGTTCTCTCTGCCCACAGTGACACACACACACACACACACCCACACCCATTTGCTATGTTCAAATCCCCAAACGTTACTTTCCTAGGGTAGAGCTCCCTAATCTTTTCCAGTCTCCTCAAAGCCAACAGACCCTCTCCCTGCTTGGAATTGGCGGGACTCTTTGCCTGCCCTGCCCCCGCTCTCCACGTGGTGTTGTGCGCGTTTACACATGGTTCACCTTTCCTTGGTGGGACTCGGTACACACTGATCAGCACATGTTCTGACCAGACCTCATCCGAACACTGGGGGTGGGGAGCAGACCCTTTTCCTGGATCTACTGGAGGGCCTGTGCAGACCCCACGTTAACAATATGTGTCTCACGTGGGACAGTTAGACTACGTGGTGGGCACAGGGACAGATGGTCTGAGTCTGGAACGTGGAAAAGCCTCTTCGTGGAAGAGGAGGTGACAGAGCCGAGGATGGTGCACAGAGGCATCAGTGTGTGCAACAGGCTCAGGGGAGTGTAGCTGCCTAGGTCATTTGCTGGAGTCGAGGGTGAAGTGTGCATGGGGTGAGGGGATGTTGGCTATCGAAAGGTCTACAGGGAGCAGACGGGCTGGGTCTACAACACCCCTTTTCCCCCTTGTATTCCTGCACACTCCACAGGGAGGGTAGCGCTCAGTGAGGCTTTGCTAGGTGTGTGGAGGGGGTTCGGTGGGGCTGCTTTGCCGTGGTCACTGGCCCTTTGCAGACACCACAGAGCCCGCAGGGGCCTGTGAGATGCCCCAGCTCTCAGGACTCGCCCTTGTGTTTTGCTTCCTTCAGCCTTGACTTTCACCTGTGAAGGCCACAGCAATGCAGAGCTGAAAGAACCTTCAGGACTCTTCTAGTGATGTCTTAGTTCGTGTGGGCTGCTGTAACAAAGTACCACAGAATGGGTGGCTTAGAAACAACAGAAATTTCTTTCTCACAGTTCTGGAGGCTAGAAGTTCGAGATCAGGGCCAGCCAGATCAGATTCTGGGGAGGGCCCTCTTCTGGGTTGCAGAAGGCGGGCTTCTTGCTGTGTCCTCACAAGGCAGAACAGAACTCTGTGGGTCCCTTTTGTGAGGGCACTAATCCCATTCGTGGGGGCTCCATCCTCATGACCTGATCCCCTCCAGAGGCCCCATCCCCTAACATCATATTGGAGCTTAGGGAACACATACGTTCCGTTCAAAACAAATTACAAGTGGCAGAAACTCAGTTCAAGCTGGCTTAAGGGAAAAATGTATTCGCAAAGACAAGAGTGCCCAGTGATTTCAGCTCCAGCCCTTTGCCCTGTCTCTCCGTCTCTCAGCTCTGCTTTCCTCTCTGTTCCCTCTTTCTCAAGCCACTGGTGCCCCAGGAGCTCCATCCGGTGGAAAGAGCCCTCTTTCAAAAGTGCCACCTTTGAAAGTCCCTGAACCGACCACCCCAGCTGAGGGGATGCGGTCACCTGCCCAAGCCCATGGGTGGAGATGGGGGTGGTTTTGGAGGAGAAATGGGGCTCTGTGCCTAGACCCGAGGAAGGGAGCAGCAAACAACACCCAGCTGCTCCCACCCCAAATCTGTGTGAAACGTACCCAGACCACGGGCTTGGCACAGGCTTTGGACTGTTGTCACTCAATAGTGTCTTCTAGATCATGACACCTTTCCCATGTGTAACCTCTGCTCTCTCTTTCTCATTTCCCAGGGGCCACTGGGTCTGGATGGAAAGCCAGTAAGTGATGACAGGGCCGTTCTAGGTGGTCCTGGGATGGGTGATCCTGGGATGGTGGGCACTGTGGGGTTGGGGGTGACCATGGGGCGCCAGCGAGAAAGATCCACTGAGAACCTGTCTCAGTGCAAAGAGAAGCCATTTGGGCATCACACTTAAGTTCAAGTCCAGCTCCACCATCTGCTGACTGTGCAGCCTTGGGGAGGCCTCTTCACCTCCCAAGCCTGAGGCTCCTCGCCTATCAGAGGCACATTAACCCTCCCCACTGTGATGGAAATGTGAAGAACTGCAGACAGCACTGTCCCAGCGGCTGGTCAGCCCTCAAAGCATACAAGCCCCTCCCAGCAGGCCCCAGGCACAGAGCATCCCCAGGCAGTCTCAGTACCTTCATGGTGGGCATGAGGCTGAGGAGTTCTCTACACCTGGGTCAGGAGCCTGAGGTCCACAGGCATCCTCAGCAGAATTAATAAGATGCACAGGTGACAACATAATTAAATAAATACTGGGGTGGGTGGATGGATGGACGGAAGAACAGTCAAAGTAGGTAATGAACCAATGATTGCACAAACAGTTGGATGCATGGGAGGATAGGTGGATGGGTGCATGATGGTGGTTGAACAGACGAGTGAAGAAATGAATGAACTGACAAATAATTGAACAGTTGACTCATAATGTGTGTGTTATTGAAGGATGGAGGAAAGAACCTGGGTGGGCGAATTGTTGAACGCGTGAACAAGCAAACCCACTACTGGTTGAAGGGATAGTGGACAGTTTGGGGAGGGATGAAGGCCAGGGAGCCGGTCAGTCCCTGTCCAACTGTGCCAGCCCTCACCCCAGGGACTCTGAGCCCCACAGTGTGCCTTGTGCCTTGACCTTCCTAGAAGGCCTGGTAACTGGGCAGGACTGAGAGAAAAACAGTCCCCTGTAGCCAGAGGGTGAAGGCAGCCGCCAGGGCCTGTGTGGAGCCGCTCACACGCACATTCCCCAGACTCCACGAGCAGGGGCCCCTGACCGGCACCGGCACAACCGGTGCTGAGCAGGGCGGGCTCTGCCCTGAGAGGAGTGACTAGCAGATGTGCCTCTGTCCAGAGGGGATGCCAGTGACCTCCAGTCCTCCGTGTCCCTCATGCTGAGGACTGAGATGTGGTGCTTCCTTGGGGTCAGCACGGGCAGCCTCCTTAAGGACTGACAGTCCTGTGTTTTTCCACTCGGCCGCCCCCAGCTCTACTCAGCCTCACAGGCCCTTCTGTACGCAAAGCCTTAGGGAAGCCGGCAGGGGCCAGCCTCGTCCTCCTCACTCACTGCTGTTCTTTCTCCACCTTCCTTCTCCAGGGACTTCCCGGCCCCAAGGGAGAAAAGGTAAGTGATGCTGGAGGCTGTCCAGACACAGGAGGCTGAGGAAGGATGCCAGACACCTGCCTCCAAACCCCATTCCAGAGTGTGACTGCGGGCACGTCACATCCCCTCCTGGAGCCTCCGTTTCCCCATCTATAACGTGGGGCAAGTAGTGCCTACCTCCTGTAATGGTTATAAGGCTTACATTGGACCATTTAAAGTGCCCGGAAGGTTAAACCTGAGTTCTCCAGACACCACAGCATAACAAAACTCAAAGCAGCCTGCCCAGTAATTAATTATGAAGGGGGCGGTGCCAGGGAAGCCGGGGGTGTTGAACAATGACTGTGGATGGCATTCTTTGTGGGGAGGACGCCTGCCAGGAAAACAGATGGCAGAGAGCTGCCCCTGGGATCCACACAGCCCCCTACCAGAAGGGCTTCCTGGCATTTGGTGCTAAATGTCACAGCCACAACCCTGGAGGGCTGAGACCTCTGAGTGCCGCATTAGAGAGTAGGAGAGAGAGGAAATGTTTGTGTCCCGGGGCCGACGCAGATGTAGGAAGACTGGACACTTCCAGGGAAGAGCTGGGCTGGGCCACGTCCACACCCCAACTCCACTGGGGGTCACTTAGTTCCCGTGGCCAGTGTTCCAGTCCCCCGTGAGAGCTGAGCAGGCACAAGACCGGCCTTTGGAGCCTCAGGTTTGCATTCCGCCTCTACCACCAGCTGTGTGGCGTTCGGCAAGTCGCCCTGCTCTGTGGGCCTCAGTTTCTCCATCCGTAAATGTAAACCAGCCTCACAGAGCCATGGGAAGACTGTCCGAGGTAACAGCCTGCGTGTTTTTTGTGGACAATGAGACCCTCGTGCGGTTGGCAGGTGCAGTGATGGCCTTCCCGCTGGTTCTGGCTGATGCCACTGAGTCGTGGAAATGATTAAGGCAGGGACTTTGAAACCAGAGAGAAATTGGTGTCCTGGCTTCTATGGCTGCATAACATACTACCCCAAACTTGGAGACTTAAAACAATCAAGTAGTTATCATTCCTGACTGTTCCGTGGTTCAGGGATTCCAAGAGGGCACAGTGGGAGCGGCTTATCTCTGTTCTGCCATGTCTAGGGCTGGCAATAGATAACAGACCACCCTGGGATCTGCTAGTGGTATGACCTTGAACAGACTACTTAGCCCCTCTGTGCCTTCATTTCCTCATTGGAAATGGCGGGGGGGGCGGGGGGGGGCGGGTAGAGCCTGCATATGATTTTTGGTAGAGTGGATGAGACAATATATATGACACTCTGAGTGCAAAGCTGGATATATGTGAAGTCATCAAGCGGTGGTGACATATCTCCCTGTTTTTTGTTCCCAGGGTGCACCAGGAGACTTTGGACCCCGGGTAAGCGCTGAACAAGACCCCCTCCCCCACCTACACAGTTTGTTTTATATTATAACTAGAGGCCCAGTGCACGAATTCGTGCATGGGTGGGGTCCCGCAGCCTGGCCTGCGATTGGGGCCCATCGGGGCCATCTGGCCCAGTCCCAATTGGAGCCAATCGGGGCTGGCCAGGCGTGACAGACCGTGGGAGGTTGGCTGGCCAAGGGAGGTTGGCTGTGGGAGCACACTGACCACCAGGGAGCAGCTCCTGTGTTGAGTGTCTGCCCCTGGTGGTCAGTGCACATCATAGCAACCAGTCGTTTGGTCGTTCGGTCACTTGGGCTTTTATATATATAGATAAAGCATGCCCTACAGCTTATCACAGAAGGTGAGTGAGCAGCCCCGCCTCCCACCTACAGTATATCCTGCTTCACGGTTTCACTTAAATGGTCGCTGGGTCTGGCACAGATGGGAAGTCTCTGCCAGACGTCCCATAGCACTTATCACTGTGGATGGGCAGACAGGGGGCTGGCACTGGTCTCAGACCAGAGACTGACCTTCCTGAGGACAGCCAGCACCCCAGGAAGAGGAGGGCTGTAGGGTCAGCAGCCCTGAGCCCAAGCTCAGCTCTGTGAAGAGCCACACACAGCATCACCACCCCTGCATCGTAATGGTCGCATCTGTCACAGGGCTCGCTCAGAGTCAGTGGGGGACGGGGACAAACAGGCCCCAGCTCTTGGTGGGGAGTGGCAAGGTCACCCTGCAGAGGACCCTGCGGGAGGAGGGAGCGTCGCGGCCCCTGTGAGCACGTGGTCCCCCACCCCCGTCTCAGCTGCCTTCTGTGGCTGGGGAGGCGGCTTTGCCTCCAGAAATAGCCCTGTGGTTTCCTAGTCACCCTCCTGCCTTTCTGACCACACAACCTGTTTGCTGTAGATGGTTTTTCCACGGCTCAATCCAGGCTTTATAAGTAGAGACCATCACATGTACAATCGCCGCATCCTCAAGGTAGACTGGACGAGCGGCCTGCCTGGGCTGCTGGCTTGCGTGTTCCCCTCGACTCATCAAATCCCCAGGGTTAGACCTCAGCCGTCCGATCCCGGCGGGAGGAGGAGGCAGCTGGCCAGCCTCATTTCCCAAGGAACGCAGGATGGAAGAACCTCTCTAGGACCTGCTCAAGTGTCTCAACCCATTTTCTGCCTCGATAAGTAGAGTCCCGGCCCACGGCCACCAGCATGGGCCCCGGAGCTGGAGTCCGATCCTTCTGGTCAGGACCTGGCCGTGTCAGGCTGAGGAGCTCTACACGGTGGCCTTTGAGAGCCTCCGTTAAGCTTTTCACTGGGAAAACTAGTGAGTGAGGTCTGAGGTGCAGCTGCTGGAGCGGGGAGCTCTTTCCTGTCATGGAGCTCACGGGTGAACAGAGACCACTGCCTCGCCGGCCTTTCCTGGCCCCGGAACCCTGGTTAGACGACTGCCCGCTCTGACGCTGGCCCTCCGTTTGTAAAGCAGGACTCAGCGGTGCCACCCAGATGATTGGATGAGAGAACCCCAGGATGCCCTGGCTTATCAGCCCTGGGCTCACAGCGGGGTCCACTCCACAAAGGCCTGATTACAGGAAGGGTAGGCTCTGCTGCCCTGGGAGCCGGTGTGTCCCGTTGCCGTGCCAGTGCTGGGCAGCAGGCAGTGCCGGGGGCACTGTGGTCTTCCCTCCCTGCAGGTGGGGCCACCAGGTGAGGGCTCTGGCTGCCTGAGGTCTGACCCAGTACTAACCTCGGCCTGAGAGTTGGGGGTTTGGTGCTGCATGAGAGACAGTGTGGCCCTCTGTCGCCTTCTTTATTTTTTTTTAAGAGAATTGTAAATTCACATGCAGTTGTCATATGTAACCATATACCCATCATCCAGTCCCCCCCAAAGGTGACTTTGGCAGCACCGTAGTACCATCTCCTACCCAGGAAATTGATACAGTCCAACAGCCTTACTCAGACTTCTCCCATCGCTTGTGTGTTTAGTCTTACGCATTTTTGTCACTGTTGTAGATTCGTGCAACCACCACACAAAGACCCCTCAGGCTACTCTTTTATAGCTCTAGCCGCCTCCCTCTCTGCCCCATCCCTAACGCCTAGAACCACTAATCTTGCTCCCTCTCTGTAATTTTCCCATTTCAGAATGTTATGTAGCTGCAATCACAACCTATATAACCTTTTGAGATTTGCTTTTTCCCTCAGCGTAATTGCCATGAGATGCATCCAAATGGCTTCGTGTCAGTGCTCTGGTCCTGTTTGTTTGCTGCTGAGCAATGTTCCGTGGCAGAGGTGCCCCAGGTGGTTGGACATCTTGCCATTGGAGGGCATCTGGGTCTCCAGTTTGGGGCCCTTACGAATAAGACCACTATGAACACCCATGTACTGGTGTTTGTGTGAACATGAGTTTTCACTTCTCTGGGCCAGATGCCCAAGAGTGCACCTCTGTCACCTAATGAAGCAGGAGTGGCCCAGCCAAAGTCTCCCAGGAGGCCTGCAACCCCCTTTCTGTACGAAGGGAACCAATTGGCCCAGGTGCCTTCTCTCACACCCACCGTGTGTCCTCTCTCACCTGAACACCACAGGTGAGGAGATGGCACACTCCTTGGAGTGTAAAAGGCCCTGTTGGCCCCTTAAGCTGAGCTTTAGGGGCCTGTCCCTTCACGTGGCCACCAAAAAGTGGCAACAGGCCTAACAACAAAGCCCTTTTCTCTGAGCCTGTCAAGGGCTGGGAAAGGGGAAGGCATTGAGCTGTCCATCTGAGGGGCCTCTCTCTAGAGACTAGAACCCCTTCCCTCACCCTCAGAGTCATGCCAGGCCTCGTCTCTTCCAGGGAGACCAAGGGCAGGAGGGGGCTGCTGGGCCTCCAGGGCCCCCTGGGCCTCCTGGGGCTCGGGGCCCTCCTGGCGACACAGGAAAAGATGGACCCCGGGGAGCCCCAGGCCCAGTGGTAAGAGGACATGGAGCTGGACCACCCAGGACCTGGTCCTGCACCTACCAAAGCCCCAAACCCTGGTCCCAGAACCAACCCAACCCCAGCCCTATCCCCAGTTCAGGCCAAAACCCAACCCTAACTCTACCGCCAACCCAGACCCGCCAACTCGGCTAACCGTAGGGTCCCTGCATTTCCTCATCTCTCTCCTCTGTGTCCTCAGGGTCCCAAAGGAGAGGCTGGACAAGACGGTGAGACGGTCAGTACCCAGAGCATTTCAAAGGCCTGACCTGGCAGAACTGTGGTTCCAGGCCTGGCAGCTCCTACACACACACACACACACACACACACACACACACACACACGCAGGTTGTGTGTGCAGCTGTACGTGTACATACACCCGAGCTCTTGTCCCCACCAGCAGTGGGAAGGGATGGCCAGGCCTCCAGCCCCAGCAGAATTCTCACAGCCCTGCATCCCTGGGAGGGAGCCTGCTGTCTATCGCTGCTTGCGATCTGATGAGAAGCTATCCAAGACAGGAAGCAGTGACAACCCTGCCTCCTCCCCGAGACTTGGTGTCATCCTTTGTAAAATGAGGATGAGGACAGATAGGAGCAACCTCCTGTATCGCCTTTAACACCTTCTCTTCTCTTGTTCCAGGGCCCAAAGGGACCTCCAGGACCCAAGGTACGTGTTCCTCAGTCCCTGTCCCCACGCCCCTGGAAGCCCAGGCAGCAGGGTTAGGAGACAGAGTTCTGTGACCTTGGGCGAGTTACTGCCTCTCTCTGGGCCTCAGTTTACTCGTCTGTTAAATGGGGGCATGATAAATCTTTCTGCCTTAAAGTCCTCTCGAATGTCAGCTCAGTGCTTGCTGGGCGGGAAGGCAGGCTCTGGTCCTCCCTGAAGGAGCTGGAGTCCCTGGACTGAGCAGGAGGGAAGGGTAGGAAAGGAGCTCCATTTAGTGAGCACCTGCTGCGAGCCAGGGCTTTTCATGCATCCTCTCATCTCAGTGACCCTCTGAGGCCCTCTGAGGCTGGGGGCATCATACTCCCGTTTTCAAGAGCAGTGACTTGCCTGAGGTCATCCAGCTTGGAAGGGACCAGGTTGGGAGTGGAGTCCAAGACTGCCAGCCCCACACCCAAGTGCTCCTCTCTGAGGGGCTGGGCCCTCTGGACTGCCCTGGGCGTGGATCATGGGGCCACTTCTCCAGAGGAGCAGGCAGCCCAGTGTCTCTGACCTTTTTCTTGCACCCCCTCTGTCTGCCCTCAGGGTGAGCCCGGAATTCCTGGAAAGAAGGTGAGGGGGGCCTGGGAGGGGCTTCTCGGTGGGGGTGTGGGATGGGCTGGAGAGAAGGGCAGGGGCTGGGCACGGGGCAGAAATGGGAGCCCCCACAAAGAAGGTGCCCTGCTCCTTGGCAGACCTGAAACCTCAGGTCTAAAGGTATGTGTCTGAAGCCAGGATCTCATTCATTCATTCATTTATTCACTCATTCACTTATTCTTTCCCTTCCTCAAACATCACATTGTTCCCGCCTCAGGGTGCATTACAGCGGTTCTTAAACTGTAGTCCCAAGACCAGCCTATCAGCATCGTTTGGGGCTTGTCTAACAAGCATGTTCGGGGCCCACCCCAGACCCACCAAAACGGGGGTGACCGTGCTCTGTCCAAGCAGCCGCAGGTGATGCTGATGTGCGCTCAAGTCTGGGACCACTGACCCAGAGTGACCTTCTCCTGCCTCTTCCATGCTGGGCCTCCTCCTCCTGCAGGTCTCCTCTGAGAAACTGCCCCTGGCCACCTACTGGGACACACCCTCCCCGAGTCCCTCTCCATCCTGCTGTCCTCCTAAATTCCCTGCCTGGCACTTCTACTTCCTGTCACGCTGCGATGTATTTCTCTGGAGATTTCTTTGCCCTCGGCCTCCTCTCACCCATCGAGCAGAGACCTTATCTGCCTGGCCCACAGAAAGTGCTCACCAGCTAATTGCTGACTGAAGGACGAATTCCCTCCCCTTCACCTGCCCACCCACTTCTTCTGCACACACCTGCTGAGGCCATTCTGGGCTGGCCCTGGGCTGGTGGGCACAGGGGACAGAAGTAGACCTGACCCCACCCCTGCCCCCAGAGGAGCGAGGAGGGGAGGAAGAAGCTGCCCGTCCCGGTATGACCAGTGTTGGTGACAGGAGTGGACAGCTGTGCTGGGGAGGACAGAGGGGTGCTGCCGGTGTGTCCAGGTCTGAGGCTGCAGTCTCCACCACTCTCTCCTCAGGGGGATGATGGGACGCCAAGCCAACCAGGGTTCCCTGGACCTCCAGGGCCCAAGGTATGCCTCCCCCGAGCTCCTCCTGCCTCCCAGCTTGCACGTTCCGTCTGCCTGGCGAAGCCCCTCCTGGCCCTTTCACATGGTAGGGCACAGGCTGATGCCCAGGACAGGCCACAGAGGGGCAGCAGGAGGACCCTGGGTCCCACTCGTCAACGGGCCTGGCACCTCACAGGCTATCTCCCCTCACACCCTGCAGTCCTATGGTTCCCTCTTCGGTGCCCCACTCTCTGCCCTGTCCCCAGGCCAGGAACTGATGTCATCCTGGCTCCCCAGCCCCTCGTGACAGCCACCAAATCCTGGCCCGCCTGCCTCCAAAATGTCTCTTGAGCCCCTGAGCTGCCCCGGCTATGCCCCAGGACTCAGGCGGAAGGAGACCATGGTCCTGAGTCCCCCGGACTGGGAGGGCCCTGAGGTCTGTCCTCTGCAGGTGGGCTCGGCCGTGTTCTCCTGGAACTGCTGCAGAGGCGAGCAGCCCCAGGCAGCCCTAGCCCGCCCGCTGCTTCCTTCCATTTTCAATGCCTGTTGCAGGGCGAGCCGGGGAGCGTGGGGCCACGGGGAGAGAAGGGCGTGGACGGTGTCCCAGGGACAAAGGTGACTGAGCAACACGCGGCTTCGCCTTCGGCTTCTGCAGGCCCCATTCAGAGAAGCACCCTGTCACGGGGAGGAGTTGTGGTTCACCTCCCATTTGCCTTTTAAGTTGGGAATCCCTGGAGGGCCTGGGCCCTCGGGTCTTGGGTCTCAGGTCTCGTTGGACTGGCAGTCAGAGACTGACCTGAGGGGGGGCAGCGGGGGGCATGGGTCTGGGTGAGCTACGAGGCTAAGGCACCCTGTAGCCTTGGGCTCCTGGGCCTCAGTGGCCTATCTCTGGGGTCAGAGGGTTCTGCGGCCACACATGAGGCCCTGCGCCCTGTGGGGAAGAGGGGACTGGAGGAGGTGGGGAACCTTTGGCTTGGCTGTGTACACCTGGCTGCAACCACGTCGTCTCCACAGGGGGAGCCCGGCCAGCGAGGAGCCGATGGAGCCTCAGGGCTGCGGGTAAGCAGTCTCTCCTCCAGCTACCCACAGAAGATCCAGGGGCCTGCCACTTTTTCTTTAAATATATTCTTTATTGAGAAAGAGACAGGAACATCAGTGATGAGAGAGAATCATTGATCAGCTGCCTCCTGCACGCCCCCTACTGGGGATCGAGCCCACAACCCCAGGCATATGCCCTTGATTGGAATCGCACCCGGGACCCTTCAGGCTTTAGGCTGACGCTCTATCCACTGAGCCAAACCAGCTAGGGCGGGGCCTGTCACTTTAAAAGTCCCTGTCACCAAAGGCCCCCGAGGAGCAGTGAGGCTCCAGAAACGGAGTCTTTTTTTATATTAATTCACTTGTGATTTTTTCATTTTTAATCTCGTAGTACATGCTTTCCGTAACATGTTCAAATATGGATGTCAAGACACATCCCCTCCTGTTCCTCTCTCCCAGGTGGTGCCTGCCCTCCGAGAGACTTTTCTCGGCATTTTCAAACATAGACCCTCACTTGTCACATATGGTGTTGCCCCCACCCTCTTGGGGGGTCCTGGCCTTTCTCCCAGCCCCACATCGAGGTGCGTTCCTGTCACCAGAAAGGAGCACAGCGGCTCCAGCTGGTCCCAAGGCCCCAGGCCTTCTGAGGCCAATGCCTGTCAGCACACCTCAGGCTGGCATCCTGGACCCTGTTCCTGCTCTGTGGCCCGAGTAGTCACATCCCCTGGTGCTCCTGGAGGCCGGTTTCCTCCTCCAAAAACCAGGTCTCAGCCCGCGGCCGGGGCTTGCAGGAGGCCGGGATTAGATTAAGCACACAGTGTGGGAAGTCAGTGTAATCTGTACAGTTCCATGCAGGTCATGACCATGGAGGCGGCCAGCTGGGGACCCCCACCTGGGTCTCTCCACCCAGGGCAAGGGGCTGGCCACAGGCCTGACCCAGAGTGTTCATGGCCGCTCACTCTTCTCCAAGCAGAGAGGTGCCCGGGTGGGGAGGGGAGGAGCAGAGGGTGGGGACAGGGCCAGCAGCCACGGGCTCACTGGTGGAGACACATACCCGTGGCTGTGCGCTTGGGTGGGTGTGTGCTCCTACCAAGAATGAATGGCATGTCAGTGCCTGGTGTGCGCAGCCCCTACCAGAGGTCGGGAAACCAAGGCACAGGTCTCCACAGTGTCTTGGAGGGTTTGGGTGTCTGTGTTTGTGTTTGTTTGTTTGCCAACATTTAAAAACCTGAACAACATCACATCAGATTAGGCTTCCACTTTCCCTCGCAGGTTCAGGGCTGGGGCCTCAGTGGGCCTCCGTTCCCACAGGAAAGCCACGTGCTGCCACCCCAGACCAGGCGGGGCTTGTTCTTCAGTTGGCTCCGGGCACCTGCCTGGCTCCTACCGTGTTTTGTCAGTGAGCCTGGATGCCAGTGCAGTGAATGCCAGGGGACCAGGCCTGAGGACCAGCCCCGCTGGGCCCCCAGGTTACAGCTGAGCTGGGGCCCAGGACTGCGTGTGGCCCCAGTTCCTGGGTTCCTTGGATGACATACAGAGACGACTACCACTTCACCCGCCAATGGAGCTCCGCCCTGAAACCTTCCTCTTCTTCCCGCCCCAGGGTCCCCCAGGCCTCAAGGGTGAGCAAGGAGACACGGTGGTGATTGACTACGATGGCAGGATCTTGGATGCCCTTAAGGTAGTGTTCCTGGTGGACCAGAAGGGCCTTGCTGTTCATTTCCTAAGGGAATAACCACTCCCTTTGTGTATTAATCCACACTCTGTACACAAGGGCCCCAGCGTCACCAGGTGCTGTGCTGATACGGAGAGAGCTGCTATGATGTGGCTCATGTGGCCCCAAGCTCCCTTGGGGTCAAAGCAACAAGGGGCAGGGGCAGAGCATCTCCTGTGTCCAGCCCCAGCAGGGCCTCCTGGGGCCTTCCCAGGGAACTCAGGCTAGAGGGCCGGGTCTTCTAATGACCATTGGGGGAGGATGAGAGTGGCCAGGCCCGCCCCAGAGCCTCGCTCGGGAGATGGAACCTGTGAGCCCTGCCCAGCAAACCTGGGACCCATAACCAGTGGAGGAGAGGTTGGGTGCTAGGGAAGGGAGCTGGGGTGAGGGAGAGACCATCAGAGACCAGACTGGATGGCACCTAACGCCCCCTGAGCTTCAATTCCAGTTATTCCCCACAGGCCTCAGAGAAGTACAAGCTGATGGTAACTGTGGCCCACCAGGCCTGCATGGTGTGATGTGGTGTGACATGGCCCGAGGGCATGTACATGCATGGTGTGACCCAGGCTGGCTAGGAGCCGCATGGGAGAAGTTCTGTGAGCACAGGGAGGCAGGGTGCCAGACTGGGAGGATGACTCCATTGGATGGGCAGCAGGAAGCCATAGCTGGTTCTTTGAGCAGAGGGGCAAATGCTAAAAAACACATATTGGGGAATGGTGTGGAAGGTGAACAGAGTGGGTGTGGGGACGGCTGGAGGCAGGCAGCCCACCGGGAAGGTAGGTGCTGCGCGTGGCCTAGAGAAGGTGGGTGGAATGAAGGAAGATGTAAGACGGGACATCTCAATGGAGCCTCTAACAAGAAGGAAGAGGTTGGTGAGAGGAGGTGGAGGACTGGAACTTTGGGGGCTGAGGGGCTGGATGGGGTGCAGCCTTTGGGAGGGGACGTGAGTTTGGAGGGCGATGATGAGCCTTAGTGAGCAGGCAGCCTTCTGGAGGCCTGGGTCAAGATAGCAGCTTGGGACTCAGGTTAGACCTGGAGACTAAAGATGCCATCCCTTACCTGTGTGACCCAGGAACTCCCCGGGCCGGAGATAACAGGCAACAGAGCTGACGGTCAGGGAGGTCACAGGAGAAGTAGAGACGGCAGTGCTGGGCTATTGCTGGGGATGCAGCTTCAGAGGCAATAGGGAGGCACCGCAGGATCCTGAGCAGGGCCGTGTTGTGAAGAAATCTAATGTTGGGGAAACAAACTCTGAGGGCAGAGGGATTCTGGGCTCTCCATGGCAGTGGACACGGTGATATCTGGCCTGACGCTTGGTGCCTCCTCCCAGGACTCCTTCAAGACCTGGGGCCTGACCTGGGTGGGTGGGAATCGGCTGCAGAAGGTCCGTGACCCTGCTGTAGCCCAGCTAAACAGAGACAGGCCCCTGGGGTGGAGGGGTGAACCAGCATTGACGGGGAGGCCCTGCTTAACACTGACCAGCCTGACCTTTGCACACAGGGTCCTCCCGGCCCACCAGGGCCTCCAGGAATCCCCGGAGCCAAGGTCAGTACACGTGCAGCTGTGTGGCCCCTCAAGCCCGTTGTCTCCAGAGCCCACCTGCCCCCTCTGCTTGTCGCCCCATGATCCTCCAGGCTCAGAGAAAGGGGCTACTTTCTTGCCAAGCAGGGTGCCTTCTCCCAGGCCCTAATTACACTGCACTCTGGGAGTTTGATTCACATGTGGAAACCCCTCATGGCATCACAAAGTCCCATAGATGACATGGTCTTTCCTATGGCCTGTGTGCATCATTATACCCTCCCCACCTGGCTCAGGAGAAAGAGCCCAAGACTGTGAAATCAGACAGGGTCTGGTTCCACCATTGTCCCTGGGCTGTGTGGCCTGGAGCAAGTCATTTAACCCTTGGGGCCTCAGCTTCCAAAATGTAACCTACAGCCTGGGCTATGTCTGCATGTAGGGGCTGAGGGCATGGAGGAGTGGAGGTGGCCGGCTCCTGGCACCCTGCTGGGCACCCAGTGGGTGCCTTTCTGGAGGTCTAACTGCAGGGACTTGACCAGGAACGGTGCGCTGGTTGGGGGCGGCAGCCTAGCCACAGACCCCTCTCGGGGACCATGGGACACTATAACCCCTCTTGCTGTCTGTTCCCTTCCAGGGTGAGCTTGGATTGCCCGGTGCCCCTGGAATCGACGGAGAAAAGGTCTCTGAGCCTTTCATTTTCTTGGTGATACTGGTGCCAGGGGTCATGGTGTGTGTGTGTGTGTGTGTGTGTGTGTGTGTGTGTGTGTGAGCACGTGTGTACGTGTGTGTGTGTGTGTGTGTGTGTGTGTGTGTACAGAGTTGGAGAACAAAATGCGCCACCTGTGTGTGATTCTGGAGCCCCACAGTGCCCCTTCATGGCTGGCTCTGCCCTTAGGCCTCGGGCAAGCTGCTCACTTCCTGGCAGCCTCTGCTCCTCCTCCCCAGGCGAGGGTGGCAACGGGCTGTGGTGAGGGTTAAATAACTCTGTGTGTGGGAAACACTTAGAGCAGTGCCCGGGGCCATGTAGCAAAGAGTCTTCGAATGTGAGCTAATAGCATTACTGTCACTATTAGTACCTTTGTAAGTATACACATGTGATCCTACGTAGACACCACAGTGTCCAATGGTGTCATGTGGCATTTGTGTGTGTAGCACCAGGCCCCTAGTGTGTGGCACATCATGGATGTTACACAGTGGTGGAGTGAGGGAATGCAATGTTGGAAGGTGATTCTGTAGATGGTGGGTTGGCTGTAGGGGTTGGGGCTCCCATCTCTGGCTCCTGAGAGGTAAGCACAGGGTTGACCTGGAACCCCATAGTGCCCCTTCATGGCTGCCCAGGCCCTCATGCTCCACTCCCTCCACCCCCACCCCACCTGCACCCCTGTGTGCAGTGAGGTAGGTGTCGGGGTGCCCTCTTCCTGTCTCTGTCCAGGTCCCTGGGTGCATTTGTCACCTGGGCTGGAGGTGGGGTCCCACAATGAGAAACTGGGGGTCTGGCCTGACCTGAACAAAGCTCTGGGACCTGTCAGAGTCAGGGAAGGGAGAATGCCTGCTGAGCTGCACTGACCCCTTGTTCATGTGGCTTTCAGGGTCCCAAAGGACCAAAAGGAGACCCAGGAGAGGCTGGGCCAACTGGACCCAAAGGGGAAGCAGGCGAAATGGGCCTGTCTGGCCTCCCGGTAAGTGGCTGGGTGGGCCCACCTTCCCTACTTGCCCCACGGGGGTTCCCAAAGTGAAGGTGTGCCTGCTGGCAGCGGGGCCATAGGGCTGAAAGGAAGCTGACTCCCAGCCCACGTGCTCAGACTCCCCGAGCCCCCATTTCCTCGCCTGTAGAAGGGCCTGCTGCCATCTCCTGGGGCCACTGAGAAGGTGAGATAAGGAGGCCCTGCCCCTGGAAGTGAGTTGGCGGTGGTTAGGCCACGGCTCTGGCTGCCTGAGTTTGCAGCCTGTTTCATTTCTTACTGACGAGAACCCTGTACAAGCAACCTCACCCCCTGGGCCTCCGTTTCCCCGCCTCTAACATGGGGGTGATAATTTCCCACTACGTGAGGGAACAGACAGCTCTGAGAATGGTGGCTGGCATGCAATAAGTGCCTGCTGTCACCATCATTGTCGTTGTGATAGTTGGTCTTGGCGTGGATGGATTGGAAAAGCTGACAGGCTAAGCAGCTACCAGGTGCCACCACTTCATGTCCATTGTCCATCCATAAGGCTAGCTCAGCGAGAGAGCCAGTGCTGGGGTTTCCTGTGCCACAGGAAAACTACCATGTGCACCGCTGCACTCTGCTTTCTGAATGCCCATCGATTTAGGGAAACTATTTTAAGCTGCACTGGCCAACCTGGCAAGTCTCTGCTGACGGAAGCCTTATGGAGGAGGAAAGGGGAGGTACTGATCACCGTGGGTGGTGATCTGGTGATGGACATAAAGGGTTCAAGGTCATCCTGTCCTACAGGGTGCCCACGGCCCCAAGGGGGAGAAGGGAGAGCCAGCACCTGACAGCCTACGAGAGAGCCTGGTAAGGGGGAGGGCTGAATTCCAGGGTCTCCCCCCAATGCCCAGCCCAGGCCAGCTGGAGGCCCAAGTCTTAGAACATCAGGGCCACCTGGCCTGACCACACCTAGGATAGCAGGGGAGGGGGCACCTCAAGTTGTGTCCTCCACCTAAGGCCCATCTGAGAACCTAAATGCCAGTGCTGGGCCCCCCACAAGGCGGGGGCAGCAAGAAGCAATGGCTCAGGGCCTGGTGTCCAGGGAGTGTTCCTCCAACATGTCCCATGAGCTCACATGTGGGTGGGTGAGGGATGACGAGGCAATTTGTAACTAATCCACTTCTGACCCTTTCCTAGGCCCAGCTCATAGTGGAGCCAGGGCCCCCCGGCCCTCCTGGTCCCCCAGGCCCCATGGTAAGAATGTTTGGCTTGAAGCAGCTGGGATACGAAGAGGGTGGTGAGCCCAGGCCTAGGAGCGGTGACAGGGGAGGGCAGAATTCCCGAGGGGGGGGGGGGGGGACATGTCAGGCAAGGAGGGCGGAGCCAGGATCTGGGCTTGGGAGGCCCTCAGGTCAAGGCCACAGGAGCCAGTGAGTGGCCTGCAAGCCTTCGTGACCACTGCAAGAGGGCCCTGGCCCTGATCTGCTCTCTCCTCCTCATCCAGGGTCTTCAGGGAATCCAGGGTCCCAAGGTGAGTCTGGGGCGTGGGTGAAACCCCCTACCTGCTGCAGACTCACAGCCTGGACAGTTTCAGAAAGCCTTGCCAATGGGCCAAGTGAGGGCCCCACGCGTGGCCTCAGACCAGCCCTGCATCTTCCCAGGGCCTGAATGTTCTGAGTCCCCTAAGGCTGGTGCCCCCTCATGCCCACACTTGGGGCTCTGTTCTTACCCTTTCTCCTCCTTCCTGGGCCCCAGTCCACTGCTTTCCCTCCTCGCTGTTTCTCTCCTTTCTCTGCACCTCCCCCCTCATTGCCACTTCCCCTTATGCCCCCCACATGCACATCTGTCTCTCAACTGCCCACAGCCTTGACATGAAGTCTTGGGTTTGGTGTGTATTACATAATGTTGTGTCCTCTGCCCTTAAATTAAAACCATAGTGTGGCCTGCCAGTGTGCCCTGCCCCAGGAGCCACACAGAGGGGGAGGCAGCTGGCCTCACTGTTTGCCCTCCCCTGAGGGAGCCCATCTCTGCTTTTCCAGCTCAGAGGCCAACTTGAGGACTCAGAGTCATGGGCTCCCAGAGCTGAGTGGGCCAAGCATGTGACCAGCCAGATGTGCTGCTTCTGGCTCTTCTTTTTCCCAAGGCCTCCCCAGGTTATGTGTAGGAGAGGCAGACGCTGTCAGGGATGGAGCTCAGAACCTCAGTTGGTAGTCAGTCCTGCCACTTGCTTGCTATGCTATGCGGGTCCGTCCCTGCCCCCTCTGTGCCTCTCTTTCCTCATCTGTGAAATGGGTGTGAGCACAACCACCTACCATGAGTACTCAGGAAAAGGTAAAATGCTCACACTGAAGCTCATTCTGATTGTTTGCACAGAAAGGAACCCAGGCCAGACCTGACAGAGCCTGGAATCTGTCCCTCTGCCCTGCACACCTGGGCCCCCACAAGCCCAAAGATTTCCTGGCCTTCCATCTGTCTGACCCTTTTCCCTGACTGTGTCCCCCTTCACTTCCAGGGCTTGGATGGAGCAAAGGGAGAGAAGGGCGAGTCAGGGGAGAGAGGCCCCAGCGGCCTGCCTGTGAGTGTCATGAGCCTTGTTTGTCGTTAGAGGTGCTAATTCCTATAACCATCATGCCTCTTAATTCATTCCTTTTTCATCCAGGGGCCAGCTGGTCCACTAGGCCTTATTGGGCTGCCAGGAACCAAAGGAGAGAAGGTAACCACCTTTTTTAAATGCCCCTCCCCCCCACCTATGGCTGCACACTGTGGTGTCACTCGGCCCTGGGGGTTCAACCCCTGCACTTCAGGGCCAGAGTTCAGGCTTGTGGACAACTTACAGGGCTGAAAGTCCCAGCAGCTATGCTCCCTCACACCTTCTCTTTGTCTCTCCTCAGGGCAGACCCGGGGAGCCAGGGCTAGATGTAAGTATCTCACCACTCACTGTGATCAGGTCCTCCTGTGTGTAGCTTTTGCCCTCATGCTGCACATACAGTAGCATGATCTGGTTGGCTTGGTAACCCCCTTTCCCAGGGCTGGGACTACAGCTGCCTGGTGTCCCCTACATTCCCAGTGCCAAGTCCAATGCACAGCCCAGAGTAGGTGCTTTTTGGATGGGTGGATGGATGGATGAATAGATGATGGATGGGTGATACATTGGAGCTGGGAAGTGGGGAGAGCAGTAAGGAGCCTGTTGCAATATCCTGGTGAGAAACGATGAGGCTTCTGCTAAGGAAGTATTGTGGGAAGGAGAGGAGGGGAAGTATTAGTCCAAGGTTGACTGGATCAAGTGTCTGTTGGTTGCAAGAGACAGAAAACACAATTTAAACTGGTTTAAACTGACTCATAACTGAAAAATCCAGAAGTACAGCACATGGATCCAAGGCTCAAGTGTGTCAACACAACACAACCTCTCAGCGTCTCTTGTATGTGATTCCTCTGTGTGGGCATCATGGTGAGATGGATCCAATAGCTCCAGACCTGCATCTCTCCGGGCCCAAATTCTGGAGAAAGACTATTTATCTCTCTCTTCTTTTTTTAAATATATTTATTGATTTCAGGGAGGAAGGGAGAGGGAGAGAGAGAGAGACACATCAATGACAGGAGAGGATCATTGATGGGCTGCCTGCTGCACGCCCCCAATGGGGATGGAGCCCACAACCCGGGCATATGCCCTGACCTGGAATCGAACCTCAACCTCCTGGTTTGATTGGATGCTCAGCCACTGGGCCATGCCAGTTGGGCTCACTCTCTTTTAGAAAATGTCTCATCGACTGGGTCAATACTGAAATATCACTTGGCCAGAAAAATGCAGTGCCCTCATTGGCCAGCCTGATCACATGCTCCATCCTGGAGCTAGGAGTGAAACCAATGAAGTATGAGAAAGGAGGGGGTTCCCAGGAAAATCAAGTAGCTCTTAGAAGGGAAATGGTGACCAGATACAGGGCTGCAAGGCTTATGGTGTCTACCCTAGACTTTAGGAGGTGTCACATTGAAGAACAGCTGCAGACAAGGAAAAGGAAGAACTCTAACCTGAGTTTCTGACTGGGCGGGGCTTGTTCCATCATGAATAGGGTCAGGAAAGAAGACATCTGGACTCAGGGAGGTCGTCAGGGCAGAGCTAAAGACTCCATGGCCACAGCTGCCTTCTGGGAGGCCTAGAGCTCAGGTGTCATCTCAAAGCCACACCCACCTGTTCGACCTGGCAAACTGCTGGGGCTTCCATCCACAGACTCCGACAGGGCCCTAATTCAGAGGAAGCAGTGCCGTGTCCTCAAGGCACGCATGTCCCTACCTCAGCCTGCCTAGGAGTTGGGACTGGGCCAGTTGGTACCACGAACATGGAGGGAGGGGCAGAGAGGGACAGATAAGAGAGGAAAACTTCAAACCTCATTTTCAGGTTTAACCTTTAATCCCCTTGTCAGGGTTTCCCTGGACCCCGAGGAGAGAAAGGCGACCGGAGCGAACGTGGAGAGAAGGTGGGGTAGGCGGGGAGAAAATGGGGGCAGCTGGAGAGGAGATGGGGCAAGAGGACAGAAGGAGGGAGGCAGGTGAAGAGGAGGGAAGAGGCGGATAGGACATGGGAGGCAAGAAGCAGGCAGAGAGAGGTGGGTGAGCAGGTGGAGGCTGGGATGGGGGCAGCAGGGCAGGGTGGCTGCCAGCCCCAGGCCCATCTCTCAGAGGTGCTGGAGGTATGCTGGGCATGGCAGCCATGGCCATACCTCCGTCTCCCTTCTTGTGCAGGGGGAGCGAGGCATCCCTGGCCGGAAAGGAGTGAAGGGCCAGAAGGGCGAGCCGGGACCGCCAGGACTGGACCAGCCATGCCCCGTGGTACATGTCAGAGCAGGAGGGGGGCCCCAACCAAGGTCTTTGCTCCTCCTGCAGCATCTTCATGTCGTCTTTGCCTCCACTGCCAGGGCTGCCATCACTGTCACTCCCGTCACAGAGGGCCCTCCTGCTCTAGTCCTGACCCCACCATGGGTGCAACTTGCGACCCATCCCCTCTATAGAAAGGGAGACCCCACGGGGCAGAGTCTATTTCCAGCATCACTGCCCCTCTTTACTCCACTTCCTTGTCCATAGAGAAGGTGGGACCGCCCTTACCTCTCTGGGTATCTGTCCCACCCAGGAGAAGGCTTTTCTGCCTGGGTGGCCCCATGCTGTCCCTCTGCCCCTCCCCTCCCGTCCCTGCTCCCACAGCCTCCTCCTTTCCTGCTGTGTCACCACAGCCCCTGATGGCCCATCCGACCCAGGGCCTAAAATAACCGAAATTCAGTTTCCTTTTTCTAGAAGTCAGCAGAGGTTACATGTCAGACTATTTCAGTGGAGCTCAGAAAAGACAGGGAAAATGAAACAGCTGAGTTTCCATCCTAAACCTGGCCAGATATTCATACCTGGCCCCCCTTGCCAGGGGCATGGGGAGAGGCCACCTACCAAAGGAAGGTCAGGGCCGGGGACCCCCAGAGGCCCAGTCCTCTGACCTTGAGTGAGTCACTTAGCCCCCTGTTCCTCAGTCTCCTCATCCGTACAGTGGGGGTGCTGTCCCACCCTCAGACTATCCCACCCTCAGATGGCTTTGAAGAGGCCATGAGAAAAAGACATGAAGATCGGATCAGTGAGCACATGCAGAAAGTACCAAGGGCAGCAGGGGACAGGGTGGCCCTGCAGATCCAGCCCCTGGGCCGAGAATTCCTTCCAAGTCATGAAGTCTTTGTCTTTGAAACAGGAAAATCCTAAATGCGGAGGCAAGCGAGGGGCGCCGGGCTCGAAGGGCCTGGCAAGGGGCAGCGGGCCCTGCCCTGCGGTACATGGTCTGGCCTGCTGTGTGCTGTGCTGTGCTGTGCTGGCATCTGCCCCCCTTCCCCATCCTGCCTGCCTCCTCCCCACCACCCTCAGGCCCCAGCCTGCGCCCCTGCTGATGCACGTCAGTGTGCCTTGGACAGAGTGAAGTGTCTTTGCCCAAGGGTCCCCCAGGGACTAGAGGATCAGCCTTTGTCCCTCTCCAGTCCCCCATCTTCCAGGCCGCTTAAGGACCATCTCCCACGACACCCCCACTTGTGTCTGATTGCTGAGCAGTAATGGCTGGTGCTTTCAGACAACCCCCTGCCCAGGTTTCACCCTGCTGGCCTCCTCCTGACCCGTGGCTCAGCTCCAGACACAGAGACCAGGATGGGCCACACAGAGGGGGATCCCACTTCCTGAACTGTCCATATCCTCCTCAACTCCTGAGAACTCTCAGGCCCTCGGGGTGAGGGTCTAAAGCCACTGTCATGGCCACCAGGTCATGGCCATTAGGTCGCGCTCCCCCCCCCCCCCCCCATTATCAGCAGATGTACAGCATGAGCCCAGTACTCCAGGGTCCTCCCGGTTCTGCCTCCGGCACAAGTGTCCCAACAAAGCCCCAGGGGATGCACTCAGGACAAGTGCAGTGAGGAGTGGTCTGTCCCGTGCCTGGGTCGCCTGGATGGACCGGGCAGGCATTCGGGTCCTGTTTCAATGGGCTCCAGCAACCTCACATGGCAGCTCCCTGGGCTGTCATCCCTTCACCCCGGCAAGAGTGTGCCAGGGTGGAGAGCTGACCAGCCCTTGCCCCAGCACTAAAACCTTCTTCCTTTCCAGGGCACTGACGGGCTGCCCGTGCCTGGCTGCTGGCATAAGGTACCTTGTAGGGAAATCTCCGGGACAAGCAGGGAGGAGTTGGGAGACAAGAAGGGCCTGGAGGTGGACCTCTGCGGCTCCCTACAGTGACTGAATAGCCAGGTTTCCCTGTCACAAGCCTAGTTTTGACTCTCCCGTCATGTGACCTGAGGCTTGGGGCCATAATCCTGGGTGATTATGCACAGCCCACCCTAGGCTGCATGGGGCTCACTCAGCATCTGGCCCAGCCAGTGCAAAGCCGTCAGCGCCCCGTGGGACTTGGTCCAGGCTGCCCCCGAGAGGGGTAGAAGCCAGGAGCCCGGGACTAGGGGAGGGGGGCCTGCCTGTTCCTGGGGAAATGGGCAGGATGGATGAGGTCCAGACCTGGGAGGGTCCCAGGGGCCTCATGGCCCCTCCTCACCTCAGTCTTTCTCTCCTTTTCCAGTGATCAGAACCCAGCTCACTGCCTGTACAGATCCATGTGGACATTTTTAATTTTTGTAAAAACAAAACAGTAATATATTGATTTTTTTTCATGGGATGCACTGCCTGTGGCCTTTAACCTTTGAGCATGTGCCCGGCCCAGCCCCAGAACAATCAGCATGTGAAGCTGGCAGGAACGTGGACAGGCCAATCAGGGAATTGTGTACTTGAGGGACAATCATAGGATTTGGTGCCTGGCTCAGACGAAGTTGCAAAGATGCCGGGTGGGGCCTTCAGTCACCTGATTAGCAGAGCATCTGGCTGCCCAGCTGCCCTACAAGAGCCTGCTCCCTGAAGCTCCAGAGCCCCCGGGGGGGCACCTGGGGATGGACGATCCTGCAGCTGCTCCAGCCTCTTCAGCCAGAGCCAGCTGCTCACCCTCCCGGACCCTGGGTTCGCCAGGAAGGACAAGCCTCCCACCCAGCACTTGCAGCTGGGTACTGGGAGCTGTAGAAAGCACCCCAGGCAGTTCTAGCTCTCACCCAGTTCATTAGCCTCGGGAAGCCAGCCTGTTTGAGAACACATGTCCTCTGGCCAGGAGTACAGGCCAAGCACTGTGATCACCACCACATGGACCCAACTGCAGGGAGCCCCATGGTGACCAAGTGTGGAGGATGGCAAGGCCCATGCTGGAGGGACTGCTGCTTCCTGTCTGTCCCCCCCACCCCAGAACAGGGGTGTGATGAGACTTTGCCGCCGGAGGAGATGGGCCTCTAGCTCAGAGCTTGGGTCTCACTGGCCCCAGTCTCCCACCCAGGAGCACTCCGGTCCGCTAGCCGAAAGTGGTCTTCCGGGTGAACTGTACAGATGAAGAGAATCCCGGTGTGGTTCCCAGCTGGCCCGAGCAGGGGGCCTGCGACCTGAGCATCGCGCTCGAAGGAAAGGCTTCCCCACCTGTGACAAAGGTCCCAGCCACCAGCTCTGGCCCAGCGACTTGCCTCCCCTCTCTGTGTAGATAGGTATTGCTGTGTGTAATAAACCATGAATTTGTGTCTGGTTGAGCCTGTCCTTGCAGACTGCCCCTCGGGCACCTCTGGCTAAGGTTTCAGCCTGGCCATTGCAAAGAAACCAGAGAAACCCACCCCAGAAACCAGAGGAAGTAGCTCAGGGTCATGGGGTTAAGTTTGGAAGACACAGACACAGGCCTAGTCCTGCCACGTACCAGCTGAGCCTTCTGGACAGTCACATCCCTGAGCCAGTGACCAGTGACTGCTACATGGAAAGTCATCCCAAAACTTGTTGCCTTAAAACAATGATCCTTTATACTCCTCTCTCTCAGTTCTGGGGTTAATGGGCTCAGCGGGGTGGTTGTGGCTCAAGCTCTCCCACACCTGGTGGTTGATGCTGGCTGTCAGCTGGGAGGTCAGATGGCAGAACACCTATCCCTCATGGTCTGGCTCCTCATGCTGAATTCCAGGAGTGAGTGTTCCATGGTGAACCAGGTGGAAGCTGTGTCACCTTTTATGGCCAAGCCTCAGAAGTCATATGGTGTCACTTCCTGCCACAATCAGTGGTAAAGTTTTCAAGGGAAAAGTGTCAACATTCCTATTTTAAGGAGGAAATGTGAGGTAGCTCTTGTTGCAGCCCTCTTAGAAAATCCAACCTGCCACCTCATCTACAAGAAGGGACAGTGATGCCTACACTCTGACGGTGGTTAATGAGGACCAACTGCATGGGATACAAGAACCCAGGGCAGGGCAGGCACCTGGCAGCTCCCAAGAGTCTGAGTTCTCTCTCCCCTTCCCCACTCCAAGACCAAGCAAGGGCCATAGTCTTGCAAAGCATTTCTACATCGTTTATTCCAGCTTGTCCTTATAACAACCCTGAGAGAGGGACCCAGCAAATATGCCCATTTCACAGGTGACAAAACCAAGCACATCCGGGGTGGTATACTAGTAGACAAGGCCTGCATGACAGCATCTTAGGCCTTCTCCAAGGACTGGGGCCTAAGGAGGGCCATGGTTTGAGTAGTCCCCCTGGCCCCTACTCTGTGGCCTCCTCACTGAGCAGAAGAGGCCCAGCCCTACACCAGCTAAGGAGGAGGAATGTGTCAAGTCCTCACCTCTGTCTCCCTCAATTGCTGGCAATAAGTGGCAGGCCCACTGCTCAGCCAGTCGTCTTGGTCACCGGGGAAGCCAGTAGTGTGAAAAGGAAGAGAAACACAGTGGGGCTGTGATGACTGATGGACATCACAAGCTGTCCAAGTGTCCTTGGGCATTCCAGCATAACCTCACAAATCTACTGCACTCTACAGTTTGTAAATTCACTCCGCCCTCAACTCAGGTACCTCATGGATCCCCCCACTTGCGAAGGAGGGAGCCTATGTGACTCATGTCACTATTTCCATGTTACATGTGGGGAAACAGGCTCTGAAGGAGTAGCCCTCTGCCTAGGGATAAACAACCAGGACTGTCTTTCTGAAATTGCTTGTCAGGGCCCAGAGTCTGCTAGGCAGCGCCATGCTGCTGGGGGATTGGTGGGCAGATCCTCTTAGAAGCCACATGTGGCCCTTCCTCAGGCACCAGAGGTCCCTTTCCTGCTCCTTTGGGTAGGGCAAGGTCATTATGGCCCATTGCTGCCCCCTTGTGGCCTCACAGTGTATCCTCAGGTCTGCAAACTTCTCATTTTAGAGGGTACAGATTGCTCCAAGAGCTTGGAGTGGGGATGAGAGGCTGGAGAAGAGTAAATGACTTGCTCAAGGTCCCAGATGAGACATTGGTGAGCGCCCTGCCTCACAGCAGAGCATCCAGGACCAGGGGTTTCACATCTCCCTGACAAGAACTACCTCCTTCCAGAAGAAAGGGAAGCACATTTATTGAGCCCCACTGTGTGCCATGGCAGCTAAACTAACCACAAAAATTCCTCCCCCATGAGAGGAGTAGGGTCTCCCTCCTCCTGATCCCTAGGATACTACATGGGCTAGTTTTGGGTGTCACAATGACTGGAAGATACTCCTCGGATTCAGTGGGCAGGGCTAGGGATATCAAACATCTGAAAGGCATGGACAGTCCCGTCCCATGATGAATCATCTCAATGAGAATGCCAGTGCTGCCTGCATTGAGAAACACCATGCCCTAGGTTCAAATTTTGACTCAGCCATTTCCTCCCATTCCCTGCCCTTTTGGCCTCCAATAGCCCCCAGAAGGCTGAGCATGAGATAATGGATAGAGGCATGCTTAGCCTGGGGCCAGAGGCAGAAATGAGTGGGCTTTTCTGAGCCAGAAGGAGCGGCTTCCTGGTGATGACCTGCCCCTTGGCCCAGGAAATGACCCAGTTGGGAGGCCTGGCTTGACCTCCAACTGATTTGCCACCTGACCCTGAACATCTGGAGAGTGAGTGAGATGAGGGCTGGGACTGGCTGCAGTATTCTCGCCCTCAACCCTGAGACTAAAAAAGCTCTGAGCCAACCTACCTCCTCTGAGCTGCCCTGGGCACAAGACAGGTTCGTATTTGGGCTCAAGACAAAGCCAAAGATGAGCCCCAAAACTGTTGCCTGTGGCCTGTACTTCTTTTCTGAGGGTCAATTCCCCCTCCCCTATACGTGGGAAGAATTTTTGGTTAATTTGGGAGGAATTTTGTTTTCAATCATACATAAGGTTCAATTCAGCTTTACAATTAAAAGTAAGAAACTCTATCCAGTTTAGAAGATGAGAAGTTCTGGAGGTGGATGGTGGTATGGTTGCACAAAGTGAACGTACTGAATGCCACTTAATTATACACTTAAAAACGGTTAAAATGGTAAATTTTATGTTATGTATATGTTTCCACAATAAAAAGGAAAAAGAAACTCCAAATGTTCTTTAATAAATGCTCTAATAAACATTTTACATTTTTATGGGGGAAGAAATCAAGGAATCAGCGTTGAGGGAGCAAAGCAGAGGGCTGTGATCCCTTGTTCCAGGGTTCATCCACGCAGAATCCCAGTGCCCCACCCCAGGAGGGGACATCTCTCTGCTAAGCCAGCTTTCCACCCCTCACCCCCAGGGCTGCCAGCTTTCCATCCCTCACCCCCAGGGCTGGGAGTCAGGCCGGCCTGCGCTGGAGTCCAGCCTGCGCGGCACACGTGCTGTGTCTGAGAGCAAAGTCCTTTCCCGTTCCGGGCCTCGGTTTCCTGGCCTCGTGCTCACTATGAGGCTCAGGAGTCCTCCCAACGCCCCTCCTGCCTGAGCACTTGATGACTCCATGAGCACGGACACCGCTCGCGGTCACTGGCCTGGAGTCCCAGCAAACGCGGAGCGTCCCACTTTATGCACCGGGAAGGCGACTCAGTGACTGAGTCCGGGGCCCCGATCCCGCTAGGGGAGCAGCGGCGAACGCACCTGCGGACCGCTCCCGCGCGGCGGTTTCCACGGGATGAGTTGGCTGTAGGAAGCCTGCCAGGCTCGTTCCCGAAAGATTTTACCAACCTGAAACGGGCCTCGGGAGGGGGCGGCGCCGCGGCGGGAGGGGCGAGGCCACGGGGCGGGGCCACGGCGGGACGGGGAGGGGAGGGGCCACGGCGCGGAGGGGCGGGGCCACGGCGGGGCGAGGGAGGGGGCGGCGCCGTCCCGCGCTCCTCTCCGCGCACCCGCCCGGCGTCATGGCCGCGGACCCGGCCCCGCACGGGAAGGCTGCGACGCTGGCGCGGAGGCGGCGGCTGCTCAGGTAACGCGACGCCGGCGCGGGTGGCGCGCACGCACGACCCGCTGGTCCTGCGCGAAGCCTGCCGGCCCAGTCCCGCTTTGCTAGTCTCCGAGCCTCGGCCCTGCGGGCGGGTGCTGCCCCTCGGCCGGCCCTGCGACTCCGGGCCCGAGGCCCCCACCCCCGCGGCCGAGGCGAGATCTTGGCCCCGTTTCCCCCGGAGAAGGCCTCTTGCCTCCGAGCCTGGGCCCCGTCCCGCGAGCGCCCCATTAAGGGGCTGAAGTTAAGACGCAGCGGGTGGGGAGGCGGTTCACTGGCAGCGGAGGGAGCCTGTGCGGGGACTCTCGCCGGGACGTGGGCGCGAGGCAGCCTCTGGCGGGGCCTGGAGTTGGCGGCCACAGGGCGGCAGGGTAACTGGACTGACAGCCGTTGAGAGTCGGGGTGCCTCCCTCACACCCATCCCAGCAAAGAAACACTGCCTTGGGGAGCCCCAAGGGTCTGGGGCGGCCACCTTTTCCCGGGATCCGAGGACACAGATTGGTGATGTGGACACAGGCGGAAATGAATGAGACCACGTAACTTTAACAGGACTTAAAAAACAATTTAAGTTTTAGCAGCTGCTTCCACCCCCACCCCCACCCCCACCCCCCGCCCCGCCTTTCCTCCTTTCCAGTCCTCACCTATGTGGGGGAACTGGAGGCAGGGAAGCAACACGGTGCCCTTCAAGCTTTCCTTGCCCTTTCCAGAAACTGGAAGGGCTGGGGGAGGCCTGTGATGGGTGGACTCTCCCTTCAGGCTTCAGACATGGCTGTCCACTTTTTCTGCCTGTCTTCACAGCTCTTCCTGCAGACTCTTTTTTCCTGAGGACCCTATTAAGATTGTCCGGGGCCAAGGGCAGTACATGTATGATGAACAGGGAGCAGAATACATCGATTGCATCAACAATGTGGCTCACGGTCAGTACCATCACTCCGGCTGGCTGGGCCGGAGAGGAGGCCCAGGCTGTGAACCTGGTCCAGGTGTGATCCTGAGGTGCAGAGAGGGGTGGAGAACGGGGGTTGAGCTGAGCAGACGGGGCCCAGTCTTTGTGGTGTAGCTGTAGAAGTTTCCAAGTAGGAGCTGGGCTACACCAGGCAGTAGTCAGAGACCCTTGTCTGGGAGTCCAGTTCCACTTGGGACTGATGGCAAGCTGAGAGAGCAGCAGCCAGTCCAGCCACGACCAGCAGTGGTCTCCCCTGGCCAAGTGCTGGGGTCATGGCAAGGCTTTAGCCCCAGTGACCATCTCAGGTCCTGGGGAAGAAAACTGAAGTAGGAATTGAGTTATCCAGATTGGGCTGCCAGAGCCAATGGGAGGAAAGCGAGTCTGACTGAGCAGGCACCTTGGAAGTTAATAAAGTAGAGGCTCTAACGCAGCCGTGGGCAAACTATGGCCCGCGGGCCGGATCCAGCCCATTTGAAATGAATAAAACTAAAAAAAAAAAAGACCGTACCCTTTTATGTAATGATGTTTACTTTGAATTTATATTAGTTCACACAAACACTCCATCCATGCTTTTGTTCCAGCCCTCCGGTCCAGTTTAAGAACCCATTGTGGCCCTCGAGTCAAAAAGTGTGCCCACCCCTGCTCTAACGCCTGGGTTTATACCCTGTCCTTCACTTATTAACTTGGTAATCTTAGGCAAGTTTCTTAACCTCGGTTCCTCATTTGCAAAATAGACATGATAATCCACCTGAGAGTGTTTTGGAGGATTAACTGAGTTAATTCTTGTAATTTGCTTTGCGTGTGCCTGGCACCTGGCGAGCTCCCAACACATGTTTGCCGTTAGCATCATCTTTGGCCTTTGGCGGTTATTACCTCCAGCCCCCTCTGATTGATGAGGTCAAGCCCACGGACAGACACTCCCATCCCCCTCCATATAGCAAACCACCTCCCACTAAAGACGTGGGTTTCTAAATAGGGTTTCCGCCAGAATCCTTCCTCAATCTCCCTTGCCAGAACGGGCATGTGTCTCCTGCCTCTGCCTTCAGGCTCCCCTCTTTCCTCTCCACCTCTTCCTCCAATACTGTGTCTTCCCTGACTGGGTTTACAGATTGGGGATCGGGGAGGGCTGGAAGGATAGGATGAGCAGAGTCAGCTGAGTGATGGAGGTGGCCCTCTTCCAGTTGGGCACTGCCACCCTCTCGTGGTCCAAGCAGCACATGAACAGAACCAGGTGCTCAACACCAACAGTCGATACCTGCACGACAACATCTTGGATTTCGCACAAAAGCTGTCGGAGACCCTGCCAGAGGAACTCTGTGTGTTTTATTTCCTGAATTCTGGGTAAGTTCACTGCAGCTGGCCCCCTAGCAAGATGAAGAGAGTTGCTCACCGGTGGGCAGCATAGTGTGGCCGACCGAGTGTGGACCACAGGAGGTAGCCCCCACTGTGCAGGTGCCAGACTTCCCAGCTGTAGACCCTGTGCTTACTCTGTCAACCCAGTGTTCTGGTCTCTTAGTAAGAGGTGCCATTACCTCCCTTCCAGGATCCCAGTTAGGATTTACCGAGGTAACGTGTTCCTTTATTCCTTCCTTAGGAAAACACAGGCACAGTGTTCAATCCCTGCTTGCTCAATAAGAAGCAAAAACATCAAATAATTCTTTAAAGAAATACAAAATTACCAAGAGGGGTCATTGCCTGGAGGAAAAGTATCTATATATATAAAAGGCTAATACGCTAAGTGTCCCTCAGAAGTTCGACCAGGAGACCGGGAGTTCGATTGCTCACTATAATGTGCGCTGACCACCAGGGGGTGGTGCAGAACAAAGGAAGAAGGCCCTGGCCAAAAGCCGGAAGGCCCGATAGGCCCTGATTGCCAGCCAGGCCTAGAGACCCTACCCATGCACAAATTTCGTGCACCAGGCCTCTAGTAGGATATAATGAGGTATAGAAGCAGACCTGGCCTGCTCTGAGAGGAAAAGGAAAGGCTTCCCTGAAGAAGTGATATTAGACTAAGAGCTGACTAGGAGATGAGTAGATGAGGAGGAAGGGTGCTGCCAGCCCCACAAGTGTTCTTATCAGGGTTGATTACCACACAGAACAGCCTGTGCAAAGGCTCTGCAGCAGAAGAGTCATGGGACCCCAGCACACTGGAGGAACTATAAGGCAGCCAGTGAGGGAGAGGAGAAGGTGTGAGCAGGCACTGGGGAGGGAGACAGAGCCCATCATCCTGGACCTTATCAGCCAAATAAACTTTTTATCCTAAGAGCATTGGGAAGTCAGAGGATTTTGATCAGGCAGGTGATGTCATCAGGGCTGGTGGAGAGCGAAAATGGACACCATTAAGTGCCATTTCAGCAGCCAGGTGACAGGTGATGGCAGCTCACACTAGAAGTGGCAGTGGAGACAGAAGTGGCAGGTGATGATGACATGTACATAGAACCAGCATCCTGGGAGCGAACATTCCCACAAATCATAGGTTGAGGCATTTAGATTATAGTAAGTATTATTATCATTGCCACTTACATAGTACGTTTATCAGTCCCCTCCAATAATTTCTAGGAAGTGGAATTTACATCTTGATTTTATAGATAAGGAAACAGTTTATTTTTTTAAATACTTTTCAATTCTTCAGAATTGTAAGAAAAATACATGAGTGGATATACATTTTTATATAATAAATATTCCTTAAGATAAAATATAAATTACAATTCTATATATGATCAAATAAATGTAAAAATTCGTGTTTACGCCGGAGGAAAGGATTTGGATGTGTGTATGTGTGTGGAAGCAGCAGTTTAAATGAAACTAGCTTGCCCAGAGCCACCTGCACAGGGAATGGAAGCCGTAACTGGAGCCTCTCTAGGAAGCGCAGGGAGCTGGCCAGGAGTCGGAGCTGCCTTGGCAGCGGAAGAAGGGACGTTTGCTCGCTTACTCCACCAGATTTACTCTGTGGGTTCCAGCAACCTCCATGCTGCCAAATCCAGTGGTCTCTCTGCCGCCTTTGTCTTACTCTCTTAGCAATACTGACAGTTACCACTCTCTCTAGAAATGCTTCTGGTCTAGCTTCCAGGACCCTGTGCACTCCTCACTCTCCCTAGCTTCTGGCTGCTTCTCCTGTCTCCTCTGCCAGTTCCTCTCTGTGCCCCAGGGCAGGTCTTCTCTGAACCTCTCCCCCATGATCTCTTCTGTTCCCATGGGATTACCTAGCAGCCACGTGCTGGTTACTCCCAAACTCGTCTCTCAAGCCCAGATGCTTCCCATGTGTTCCATCCTCATGGTTCTAACCACCCCCTTGACTTCTTGAACATCAGCTTCACGTGTCGAAAAGACAATAAGAACATGATTGTCTTCTGCCAACACCCGGAGTGGGACCATGGCCCCAGCTCTCTCTTACTTTCCTAGACACTGACCCCAGACCTTCCCACGAGGACATGCCCTCACTACCACCCGCACCCTGTCTTGCCTAGTAAATGGCAGAGCCATCTGCATCTCTGTTCAAGGCAGAAACCCTCCTCCCAGTCCTGCATCAGTCCTGCCTCACCTCCCTCCAGGATGACTCCATCCACTTCCCTTTATCTTCATGGCCACTGCTACCCTCACTTGCGTGTCCTCCTTAGTCTCCTCACTTCCACTTTTTTTTTTCTTTCATTTAAATAGTGTGTTCTTTTTATTTTAATTTATGACTACTGTGGATGGGCAAGGGGCCACATGCTAAACCTGGCAAGCTCAGGGGATTTGCTTCCACTTTCATTTCCTTCTACTCCGTTGGACACACATAGCCAGAGGCTTCCTCCTCAAATGGAAGCTGAATCATGTCTCTTCTCTGATTAAAACTCTTTAGTGCTGCTTGCTGTGCCTGGAAACTTCCCCCTGAGGCTTTAGTACAGATATTGCCTCCTTGTAGAGTCTTTCCTGACCCCCTGTCTTAGTCAGCTCAGGCCGCCCCAGACCGGGGGCCATTTGTTTTCTCACTGTTCTGGATCCCAGATCCAAGATCAAGGTGTCGGCAGTTTTGGTTTCTTTAAGGCCTCTCTCCTTGGTTTGCAGGTGGCCATCTGTCTTCATATGGTCTTTCCTCTGTGTACATGAGCCCCTGGTATCTCTATGTACAAATTTCCCCTTAGAAGGACTTCACTCAGGTTGGATAAGGGCTCTCCCTAATGGCCTTGTTTTAATGTAATCGTCTATTTAAAGGCCCTATCTCCAAATACAGCCACATTCTGAGGACTTCAACATATGAATTTTGTGGAACACATACTTCAGCCCATAGCACCCCCTTATCTAAATAGGGTCCCATCTGGTCCTCTTGAGGCACTTATCAAGTGAGCATTCTTTCTCTCTTTGGTGTTTTTGGGTTTTGGGGGTTGTGTGTGTGTGTATGTGTGGTTTGTTTGGGTTTGGTTTTTTTTTGCTTTCGTGACACATACTAGAATGTAAGTTCCAGGAGCATCAGGGTCTGTCTGTTTCACCGTTTTTGCCCCTGGTCTTAGCACACAGAAGGAAGGCATTTGATGAATTTGTACCTAATGACTAATGAATGGTGTCCCAAGAATCTTCTTGCTGCTGGCAGGGCACCACCTTCCTCTGGGTTTCCCTATAGGAAGCAGGCCCCCAGGAGGGAAAGCCCTTAGCTGTCTGAGCCGTGCCCACCTTTTCTGTTGTAGGTCGGAGGCCAATGACCTAGCCCTGAGGCTGGCCCGCCAGTACACAGGACACTGGGACGTGGTGGTATTAGACCAGTAAGTGCCGTTCCCAGAAGCTTGGGCCCACCACTTGTTGGGGATCAATGAGGCTCTAACTTTGGGTGCCTTGGGCAGGAAGGATGAGGGACCATCGCTGCAGAGACTCCCCAACACACGCCACGGGGCTCTTTTCCCTGGTCTCTTCTAGGAGGGCAGCTTCTGGGGAGCTGAGAAACCTTTGTGAGGGGTTAAGAGTTGGCCCCACATTTGAGGTATTAAGACTGTTCCGACAGGGGCTCCCATGTAGTGAGTATGCGCTGCACAAGGCCCAAGCCCAGGGTCAGCGCCTTAGCACATCTAAGGTCATTACAACCCTGAGGAGAAGCCACTGTACAGAGGAGAGAACTGACCCAGAGAGCCTAAGTGATTAGCCCCTGGTACACGGCCAGGAAGCGGCCTCACAGGAAGTCTTACTGACCCCACAGCCTGTGCTCATCCCCAGACCTAGGCCTCAGGGGCTATGGCAGAAAGGTGTGTCTCCTGAGGAGGGTAGATGCTTGTCAAAGACAGGCCAGAGACTCGCGCCACCTGGGCCTGAGCCCACCCTCCCTTCTCCCCCCCAGTGCTTATCACGGTCACCTGAGCTCCCTGATCGACATCAGCCCCTACAAGTTCCGGGACCTGGATGGCCAGAAGGAGTGGGTCCATGTGGTACGCACAGCCCAAGGGGGCAACAGGTCGGTGACCACCCCGAGCCTATATGACACGGAGCTGTCACTCCCCACAGGCACCTCTCCCAGACACATACCGGGGCCTCTACCGGGAGGACCACCCCAATCCGGCTGAGGCCTATGCCAGTGAGGTGAAACGTGTGGTCAGCAGTGCACAGGAGCAGGGCAGGCAGGTAACTGCATTTACATGGGTCTAGCCCAGCCAACAGTGAATATCACTTCCTCTGTCACCAGCTGGTGCTAGATACAGGGAACCCGGTGAGACTCTGGACTAGAGATGTGTCCTGGGCGTGCTGGGAGTCCTGGGGCCCAGGCTGGGCTGGTTTTGATTGTGAAGGAGGGTCCTTCGAGAAGGTGCTGCCTGATTTCAGTAACATGAGCTGAGACAAGCAGGCCACAAGGCCAGAAAGGTTGGCAGAGCCAGATCTGGGAAGCCTGGCCTGTGTGTTTCAGATGCTCTACATCTACTTATATAAAACCAGGAAAGTGGTTGCTCTGGTGGCAGCAGGGGTGGGGGGCCGGTTTTCTACCCCATTGACCTTTCCCTCATCCGGCTGGAGCTTCTAAAGAAGCTCTAAGGCAGAACATAGTTTGGAAGTCATTACTGTAGGCAGAAGGGGTCATTAAAGGGTTTTAAACAAGATGAGCTCAGTGTCTGAGTTGAGGCATCACCCTGGTGGCCAGTTGGAGGATGCACTAGAAGAGGCATCCAGTTTGAAGACACTGGCAGGAGGCCAAGGCAGAAACTGGCAGATCTGTGGGAGGCAGAAGTGTCCAGGTGGATGGCAAGGAGTGGGAGCAGAGATGATACAGAGCAAGTCAGGCTGTGCTGACTAATGGATAAAGGAGGGGGCTGGATCAGGGATGGGGCAGATGGGAGAGTTGGGAGTCACCAGATGGGGGCAGGGGAGAAACAGGCTTGTGGGGGAGAAATCAGTGGATTTTTTCTGAGGCATGCTAAGTACAGGAGTCTGGAGGCATCCAGGTTGTAAGAATTGGTTTGAGGCCTGAAAGAAAACAGAGTCTCAGACGTTCAGATGTGATGAGGAGCCCGAACTAGGGGTGCAACAGTGATGGTAACTCATCCTGCGTGGAGCCAGCCCTGAGCCAGCATCAGCAGGACTCTCAGTTTGCCTCTCAGCACCTCCAGGTCAGTGTTCCTGACATCTCGTCTTGTCCACAGATTGCCGCATTCTTCGCTGAGTCTCTGCCCAGTGTGGGCGGGCAGATCGTTCCCCCTGCTGGCTACTTCCCGGAAGTGGCAGAGTAAGGAGGGGCAGCTCCAGGGAGGCCAGGGCTGTAATGCGGTTTCCCAACCTTTGTTCCAAATGACAACCTCCATCTCACCTGTTTGCCAGAGTTTTCAAAGCCCCTGAAAAAATAGTGGCCCCTAGCAGGCCAGCCATCTGCCCAAGGCCCCAACCTTACTGTTGGCAGAGCCAGGATTCAGAGTCCCAAGACCTCCCAGCTCCTGTTCTGATCCCTCTCACCACAGCCGTCCCCGTCCCCATCAGCTGTCAGCCTTCTGTCCTCTGCCACAGGCACATCCGCAAAGCTGGAGGAGTCTTTGTTGCAGACGAGATTCAAGTGGGCTTTGGCCGAGTAGGCAAGCACTTCTGGGCCTTCCAGCTGCAGGGGGAAGACTTTGTCCCTGACATTGTCACCATGGGCAAGTCCATTGGCAATGGCCACCCTGTAGCCTGCGTGGCCACAACCCAAGCTGTGGCGAGAGCATTTGAAGCCACCGGTGTCGAGTACTTCAACACGGTGAGTGAAGGCTCCGGGGAGCACTGAGGGTTCTGATAGGCCCCAGACAATCTGAGCAAAGGCCACAGACCTGGCACTGAGCCACCACAAAGATGTCTAAGATGCTGTGGGGGTGGGTGGGGGCCGGGGAACGGTTAAAGCAGGTCAGAGGATAATAACGCCAAACCTCTTTAAAGTTAGTATCAACCCAAGAGCTGTGGCAAGAGATCATGCCTTATAAAATATATAGAAAGAAAACTCTCCCTTCCAGCAGAAGCTGCCTACTGTGTACAAGACCCTGTGCTAAAAGCTGATGAAAATGCACGAGGACCTGTGTGGGTGATGGCCTAGGATTAGCGTTCGTGTTGCAGTAGGAGCGTAGAGGTGCGGTGCAGGGTTGAGCTTTCCCTAAGTGAAGTGGATCCTCGGGTTGGAGGAGAAGCCACGGCATGTTCAGTGGTGCCAAGAGCGCAGTTATGTGGTGGGCGATGGGAGCATAGTGGTCAGCAGGTGGCCTCATGGTAGAAGAGCAGAGAGTCTGGACTAATCCCCAGGGCTGTGAGGAACCAGGGAAGGGTTTTAGTCTGTGAGAGACGAGATTGAAATATGCTTTAGAAGTTCTCAGTGTGGAGAAAGACTACAGGTAGGCAATTGGTCCAGGCAAGAGAGAAGGAGCCCAAATCTGGACACGGGCTACAGGGAAGAATAGGGAAGGACAGAAAGTTGAGGGAACGAAGAACACACTGTCACCTCCCAAAAAAGAGTCAGTTTGAATGGGGGCCTGAAACATGTCAAGATTGGGCAGGATGGTTGAGATTTGTCAGAGGTTATTAAGGACGAAGGCTGGTGCTCTCAGCAAACTCACCACATACCCAGCAGAGACGTAGGTAGACGCCTCTGCCCTAAACAAGTTCACTGTTCAGAGGGGAGATGGGCTCATAAACCCCTGCTCACATGGTGTGGAAAGATTTAACGGAAGTATTGTGTTCACAGTGCCAGGAGAGCTCAGGGATGCAGGTAAGAGGACAAAGAAGAGGAATGGAAGGAGCAGGGGAGGATTCTTAAGGATGTGGAAGGATGAGGAGGAATTGGCCCTGCGAGGAGGAAGGAGTGGGTTGTGTTAGGTGAAAGACAACCCAGTGGAGCCAGAGCCTGGTGCTTGTGTCTGTCTTACTTGAAGTGCACATAGATTATGGAGTCAGTCCATGGCTCACGAAAGATCATCATCTGCTCTCGCAGAGTCCTCTTTTAGTTCATCAGTTAATTGGTTACTTTCATTCTGAGACAAGCATCTGAGAAGCCATCATCCCAAATAAAAGTTAGGACCTTGACAATAACCTGCATCTATTTATCCATATGGTTGCTCCCAGACCCTGCCTCCCCCAGCCCAAGTAGCCATCACTCTGAACCCCTTATTCATTAGTTACTCTCATTTTTTTAACTTTATAAGTGTATCTTGCTGCATGTATGTAGTCTTTAGGGATTTGTGTGTTTTTTCACCTAACATTATATTACTAAGAGTCATCCCCATCTCTTGTCACTGAAGTTCATTTGTTTTGACTGCTTTATAATTATCCCATTGTATAAACTACTTTGGTTTATTTGTACAATCCTGTTGATGTGCTTTGCAGTTGTACTCATGGTTTTTGCTACTGTGAACAGTGCTGATATGAACCATTTTTATAAACTCTGTTGTACATGTGCAAGAGGCTTTTTTAGGAATAACCTAAGAGTGGAATTGCTGGTCATGTTCACCTTCATTTTGAGATAATGACATCTGTTTCCCAAAGTAGGTCACAAGTTAACATCCCACCAGCAGGTATAAGAGATTCTGTAGGTCAACATCCTCTTCAACACCTCTTAATTTGTGCCAGTCAAGTGGGGTATAAAGTTGTAGCCCCTCAAATCAGGGAATTTTTTTAATATGCCGTTCCCTGATTTCAACTTACCTGAAGCATCTCTTCATATGTTTATTGGCCATGTGCTTCTTCTGTGAAATGCCTGGGTTTTTTTCTTTATTCCATGTTTTGATTGAATTACTAGTGCTTTTATTTATTTGGGGGGGTTTTATGTGTGCATTTGTGTATACATGTATAATTACACAGACACATAGTTACATAGGGCTTTAGTTGCATAGGACTCTTGAAACTTTTTATTTCTTCTTGAGTTAGTTCTGGTGGGTTGTATTTTCTTAGGAATTTTTCATCTGAGTATTCAAAATTGTCAATCTATATTTCTTGTTAATACTTTCTTAATATTTTTTAATCTTTATCATTATGTTCCCTTTACTTTTACAATAATAGTTCTTTGAGTCCTTTTCTTTCCTTCTGCTTTCTTTGGGGTTTGTTCTGTTGTGGTTTTTTGTTGTTGTTGTTTTTATTTCCTAAAATGGATACTTAACTGTTTTCTTTTTTTCCCTTTTTTCCAATATATTTTTATTTTTTATTTTTTTAATTATATTTGTATTGATTTCAGAGGGGAGAGGAGAGGGAAAGATACAAACATCAATGATGAGAGAGAATCATTGATCAGCTGCCTCCTGCACACCCCACACTGGGGATCAAACCGTGACTTCCTAGTTGATGCTCAACCACTGAGCCATACTGGCCAGGCTGTTTTCTCTATTAATATAAATATTTAAGCCTGTCTATTCCTCTTAAAGCACAACTTTTACATTGTATCCTACTAATTTTAATATATAGTGCTCAGTTGGTTGAGTGTCCCATGCACCAAAAGATTGCTAGTTTGATTCCCCATCAGGACACATGCCCAGGTTTTGGGCTCAGTCCCCAATAGGAGGTGTGCAGGAGACAGCCAGTCAATGATTCTTTCTCATCATTGATGTTTCTATCTCCCTCTCCTATCCTCTCTGAAATCAATAAAAAATAATTTATTTTAAAGAGACATTACAGAGTTCTGCAAGAATTTAGAGAACACACATTTTTCTTGAGGACATGTAGAACAATCACATACCAACTCATGAACAAAGAGATCAGGGTTCAATTCCCAGTCAGGGCACATTCCCAGGTCACTGGCTCAATCCTCAGTAGGGAGCACGAAGGAGGCAGCCGATTGATGTTCCTCTCTCATCAATATTTCTGTCTCTCTATCCCTCTCCCCTCCTATCTCTAAAATCAATTAAAAATATGTTTTTTAAAATATGCAATATAGTATTTTTTTTTAATCCTCACCTGAGGATGTTTTTCCATTGATTTTTAGAGAGAGTGGAAGAAAGAGGGAAAGAACTATTGATGTGAGAGAAACACATCCATTGATTGCCTCCTGCACAAGCCCCAACCAGGGCCCAGGCCAGGGAGGAGCCTGCAACTGAGGTACGTGTCCTTGACAGAAATCGAATCCGGGACCCTTTGGGCCACAGGCCAACACTCTTTCCACTGAGCCAAATTGGCTAGGGCTGCAAAGCAGTATTTTTAACTATAGTCACCATGCTGTGTTTTATTTTATGGACTTACTTATGTTTATAACTGGAAGTTTGTACCTTTTTGACCACTTTCACCCATTTTACCTACCCTCTTTGTCTTTTGATCATTTGATTATGTTGTATCCAGATATGGAACTCATTATTCTACTTTAGGTTCACTGAGTTTCTTGGATGTATAGGTTGTTGTTGGATTTGGGTTTTCTAAATCAAATTTGGGAAGGTTTTGACTATTATTTCTTCTATTTTTCATTCTGCCCCGTTCTCTCTCTCCTCTCCTTCTGTGACTCCCATTGACATATGTTGGTGTGCTCAATTGTGTCTCACTTGTCTCTAACGCTCTGGGTTTTGCGGGTTTTGTTTTCATTCCTTTTTCTCTCTGGTTTTCACACTGGACAGTCTCAAGTGACATATTTCTAGTTTGCTGATCCTTTCATCTGCCTGTCCAAGTCTACTGTTGAGCCTCTCTAGTGAATTTTTTATTTCAGTTACTGCACTTTTCAACTCCAGAATTAGTTTGGTTCTTTTTTTTTTGTTTGGTTTGGTTTTGTTTTGTTTTGTTTTTTAAATATATTTTATTGATATTTTACAGAGAGGAAGGGAGAGGGATAGAGAGTTAGAAACATCAATGAGAGAGAAACATAGATCAGCTGCTTCCTGCACACCCCCTAATGGGGACATGCCCACAACCAAGGTACATGCCCTTGACGGGAATCAAACCTGGGACCCTTCAGTCCGCAGGCCGACGCTCTATCCACTGAGCCAAACCGGTTAGGGCTGGTTCTTTTTTCTAATTTCTATTTATTGATATTCTGTATTTCAGTGGTTCTCAACCTTCCTAATGCCGCAACCCTTTAACCCTTTGCGGTCGTATTAAATTTGGACGTGGGTGTCGTACTGGTCGGAATTAATTTCCATTGAAAGAGCAGTGATACATAACATGCAAGATTATGAAGGATAAACAAGATTTATTAATTCTTTTTTGGAACTACGTCACTACTAGTAGAATCACTACAAACGTTATCACTTTCTACGTCAGAGTCAGTATTCAAGGTGCCAAAATAAAACTCTTCATCATTACTTTCAGATTCGCAGTACACTTCTTTCGGTAACTTTCTTTTTGCCATTTTGGAGTATTATTTTGAAATATCTTAACAAGCGAGAATGCCTAATTACAGTTAAACGTAATTTGTAAAGCTTTATTTGAAATTCTGCGAAGTATCTCCAAAGCTTGTCGATTTCTTCACTCTCAAAAGGCGACTGGCTCTCCACGGTGTTTTGCATGGCGAGTGTGGAACGACCGCGTTTGTTTATATTGAGCTTTGATATCTCCAATTTGTCGGGGCAATGTTTTGGTTCGTGACAAGGTCGCTTACACACTTAAGAGCTTTCAGAGAAATTATGAACTGATACATGAATGAATAGAGTTAAGATTCATACGGTTCCTTGCGGTAGTGGCTGAGAGCAGACATACGACTGGAACGGTAAAAAAGCTTTGGTGGCTGAGAGTAGACAAATGACTGCAAAGGGTTAATACAGTTCCTCATGTTGTGGTGACCCCCAATTTCATTGTTACAAATTGAACATAATTAAAGTATAGTGATTAATCACAAAAACAATATGTAATTATAGATGTGTTTTCCGATGGTCTTAGGCGACCCCTGTAAAAGGGTCGTTTGACCCCCAAAGGGGTCATGACCCACAGGTTGAGAACCACTGCTGTATTTGGTGAGACCTTGTTTTCATGTTTTGCATTTTAGCTCTTTTAACATATAACACTTAAAGCCTTTGTCTAATAAGGCCAAAATCTGGGCTTCCTCAGGGACAGTTTCTATTGTTTGCTTTTCCTCTCCGCCTACCCATATGCACCATGCTTCCTTCTTTCTTTTGTGGACAAAAAGGGGGTGCTATAATAAATGATAATGTCTGCCTGGCCAGTGTGGCTCAGTAGTTGAGCGTCAGCCTATGAACCATGAGGTCACGGTTCGATTCCCAGTCAGGGCACATGCCCGGGTTGCGAGCTCAATCACCAGTAGAGGGCGTGTAGGAGGCAGCCTTCAATGATTCTTTCTCTCCATTGATGTTTCTATCTTTCCTTCTCCCTTCCTCTCTGAAATCAATAAAAAAAAATTTTTTTTAATCATAATTTCCCAACTGGGCAGTTCACAGTGGATAGTCACACCCTGGCCTATAAGTTTTTTTTCTTTTTGCCTATAACTTCTAAGCAAAGGTTTAAGCAAGCCTGCCCACTGTTCTTGTGTATCTAAGTTAAGACAGACACCTTTAAAATGCCAGAATAACCCTTAACCACCCTCAAGAGAGCACATAATCTTAACTACCCTATAATCCAATCCCTAAAACCACCTTCATCTAATCTTATATTCCCTTAATTTCAAATACATAAAATAAACTCCAAAACTGTCATAATCTTGAGCATTTGAGATCTTGCTTGTCTTGTCAGTTTTGGCTCAAGTACTCATAAAAATTCTCTACAGCCTGGCTGGGTGGTTCAGTTGGTTAGGGCATCACTCTGATGCACTGGGGTTACTTGTTTGATCCCTGGTCAGGGCCAGTGTGGTACTCAACCAAGTGAGTGCATTGTTAGGTGGAACAACAAATCAATGTTTTTATCTCTCTTAAATCAGTAAATTAAAAATAAATATTCTACAGGTTTGGACGTTTTCTTTCGTCAACACTGCATGTTTAAGGTTTTTTGTTGAAAACTGAACATCCTATATAATAAAAGCCTAATATGCTAAGTGTCCAGTTGATCGGCCGGCCATTCAACCAATCAAAGCGTAATATGCTAATGATATGCTAAGGCTGCTCAACCACTTGCTATGATGTGCACTGAGCACCAGGGGGCAGTCAGTTGACTGGTCAACCAGTCGCCATGATGTGCACTAACCACCAGGGTAGATGCTCTGACTGGTAGGTTAGGTTGCTGCTGGGGTCCAGCCAATCGGAACTGAGTGAGATGGGCCGGACATGCCCTGGAGCCCTCCCACAGTCCCTCCCTGCTGGCCAACCTCCTGTGTCCCTCCCTGGCTACAGTCGTGCACCAGTGGGGTCCCTTGGCCTGGCCTGCGCCCTTACAATCCAGGACCCCTCAGGGGATGTCAGAGAGCCAGTTAAGGCCCGGTCCCAGAGGCCAGGCCAAGAGACTCCACTGGTGCACAAATTTGTACACCAGGCCTCTAGTTTTAAATAATATAATGTGGCAACTTCGGAAATCATAGTATCTCCTTGTAGTTTGTTATTGCTTTTTGTTCTTTGTATAATGCCTTCTTTGAACTAATTCTGTAAATCTGTGTTCTTTGTTATGAGTAGCCACTATAGTCTCTGCTTGGTTAGCTTAGTAATTATTGAATGACTGGGCAGACATCTCCTTAAATGCCCGGAACCAAGAGGTCTCTCAGCCTTTCACAAGGGTTGATGTGTTGTGGTGTGGGTTAGGGCAGGGGTGGGCAAACTTTTTGACTCGAGGGCCACAATGGGTTCTTAAACTGGACCAGAGGGCCGGAACAAAAGCATGGATGGAGTGTTTGTGTGAACTAATATAAATTCAAAGTAAACATCATTACATGAAAGGGTACGGTCTTTTTTTTTTTTTTTTTAGTTTTATTCATTTCAAACGGGCCAGATCTGGCCCGCGGGCCGTAGTTTGCCCACGGCTGGGTTAGGGTGTGCTTCCACACTCAGCCAAGCACTTGACAACTCTGCCTTAGCCTTTCCTTCCTCCTCCTTCGGAGCCTCAAGCCTTTTCAGATCTTTCCTGAACATGAACTTAGCATTGGGCATGAGCATATCCCTACACATATGCATGGCCTTCTAGATTTCCAGAACTGTGTCAAAGCTTTTGTTCATTTTCTTTCTATTGTCCCTCTGGGGTGATCTTGGGGGAAAGGCCTATCTATTGTGCTAGTTGAGCATCTTGGGCAGGTCATGATTCTACACCAAAGACACACTACCTTTTAGCGAGTTCATGGTTAAATAATATACAATATGTAGCCTCAATGTATCCTTTGTCCATTCCACACATAATTTGTTTTTAACCTATCAAAAAGCTGCCTCGTAGCTGAATCACCTTGGTAGCTTTTTGTGGTCTCAAGTATGGGGCTATGCATACAAATTTTCAAGATAATCTACAGGATACCACTACACACCCATTAGAATGACTACAATTAAAAAGACTGACAAGCCTGGCCTGGGTGACTCAGTTGGATGGGCATTGTCCCATGCACCAGGAGGGATGTCAGTTCAATTCCCGGTCAGGACACATGCCCGGGTTGTGGACTTGATCCCCAGTAGGCTGCGGATTGATGTTTCTCTCTCTCCCTTTCTCTCTCCAGAACCAATGAGAAAACATTTAAAAAACAAACAAAAGACTGACAATTCCAAATGTTTTTAAGGATGTGAAACTACTGGAATTTCATAAATCTATGAAAGTAATGATACCACTACTTTGGAAAACTTTGTTTTTTATAAAAATCAACTATATATTTATATAATCCAGCAGTCTGGTATTTACCCAAGAGAAATGAGAATGTATGTTTACAAAATAACTGTTATAAATATTAGTTTTATTCTTAATAGTAAAAAATCAAAATAACCCAAGGGTTCATCTACAGGAGATTGAATAAACAAATTGTGGTATGTCCATACAGTGGAATGTTATGCAACAACAAAATGAACTAACTACTAATACACAATATGGATAAATTTCAAAAACATGTTGAGCAGAAGCAGCAAGGCACAAAGGGGTACATATTCTGTAATCTCATTGTATGACATTCTGGAAAAGGCAAAACTGTAATGATAGAAATCAGATCAGTAGTCGCCTGGGCCAGTAGTGAAAGGGGATACAACTCTGGAAAGTGATAGAAATGTGTTGTGTCCTCATTGTGGTAAAGGTTCTAGTTTTACACATTTGTCAAATTGTATTGAACTACAGTCATGCACAGCATAATGTTTTGGTCAACAAGCGACACATTGATGTAAGAACATCTGAACCTGTGCCAGTCAGTTTGGCTTAGTGGTTAGAGTGCCAGTCTGCGGACTGAAGGGTCTAAGGTTGGATTCTAGTCAAGGGCACGTACCTCCATTGCAGGCTCCATCCTCGGCACCAGTCGGGGCACGTTCAGGTGGCAACCAGTCAATGTGTCTCTCTCACATAGATGTTTATCTGTCTTTACCCCTCTCTTCCACTCTCTTTAAAAAAATTAAAAAAAAAAATCAATGGAAAAAATACCTAGGGTGAGGATTAACAACAAAAAGTGAAGAGAATTTTTATAAAAAATTGAGCCAAAATTATGTCAGCCCTGGCCAGCGTAGCTCAGTGGTTAGATTGTTGGCCTGATAACCACAGGGTCTCAAGTTCTATTCCCATCAAGGGCACATATCTAGGTTGCAGGTAGGATACCTGCAGGAGGCAACCAGTTGATGTGGCTCTTTCACATCGATGTCTCTCTCCCTCCCCCTTCCCTTCCATGAAGCCCACCCTGTGTGACAGAGTGGTTGAGCATGGACACATGAACCAGGTGGTCACGGTTCAATTCCCACACATGCCCAGTTGTGGGCTTGATCCCAGAAGTGTGCATGTAGGAGGCAGCTGATCAATGATTCTCTCTCATCATTGATATTTCTCTCTCCCTCTCCCTTAAATACTTATTAAAAAAATAAAATCAATGGAAAAAATATCGTGAGGCTTAACAAGAACAAAAAAATTATGTCTAACCACTGTGTTTTAAAATATTTAATGTTATGTTAGACTAATTATTTAATGTCAACTGTAATTGAAAAATTAAAATAACAAAGACGGGGGAAATATTTGAGCCAGAGGACACACCTGGAAGCAAGATCTCAACAGAATGAGAAAAGTGCTTCCAAGAATAGCATTTTGCAGCTTTTGTGCATTTGGAATTAAAGAGGGAACTAAGGAAAATTACAGCCGACAGATGTGACTCACTGGTTGAGCACAGACCTATGAAACAGGTCATGGTTTGATTCCTGGTCAGGGCACATGTCCGGGTTGTGGGCTCAATCCCCAATAGGGGGTGTGCAGGAGGCAATTCTCTCTCATCATTGATTCTCTCTCTCTCTCTCTCTCCCTCTGCTGGACATCTGACATGCCCTTTGCCCCTGGCTCAGTTTGGGGGCAACCCAGTGTCCTGTGCAGTGGGGCTGGCCGTCCTGGATGTCTTAGAGAAGGAACAGCTGCAGGCTCATGCTGCCTGTGTGGGCAGCTTCCTGATGGAGCTCCTCCAGCAGCAGAAGGCCAAGCATCCTATCATCGGGGACATCAGGTGAGTCTTGGGGCAAGTCACCGCCCACTAACGAAGCACCTGCAAGAGGCCTAGATTCATTTCTTCTTTCACCTCCTAACCACCTGGGATGGTGGGAGTCTCCACAAGGAAAGAAGTGAAGCACCTAGAGGGGCTGTTGTCCAAAGTGGCACTTCTAGGGAGGGGAAAAGTCAGGATCAAGTAGCTCTGACTCCCTGCCCCTCTATCTTTCCTCTGTCAAAAGTGAGGGCCCTTCCCCATTGCAATTACTTCCTAGACACACACCACCACCACCACCAGTTCCTGTGACTCTGTCCCCAGGAGACAGAGGTACAAGCCCTGGTGGACTTTCCAATGGGGCTTGGCTGAGACCCAGGCACAGGGCAAGTGTTAGGCCTGTGGTCCCTCAGGCCTGGACTCCTGAGATGTCACCTTCTGCTCCAGGGGCGTCGGACTTTTTATTGGTGTGGATTTGATCAAAGATGAGGCCACAAGGATGCCAGCCACTGAAGAAGCTGACTATTTGGTATCCAGGTACTTTTTCTTCAAGCAAGTTGCCTTTGCAGAGCTTCTCCAGGGCCACACCAGGGACAGGGGATGGACAGGACTCCTGCTCGTCTGGGTGGGTATGTCTAGATGGAACATCATCTCTGGACTTAGAAGCCCCCTGCCCAAACCAGTTCACATTTTTCACTTGAATCCAGGTAGGACTCCAGCCTCAGCACCTTTCTCCCCTTTTATCTCCATTCCTCACGCCTATCCTTTCCCCCACCTCAAAAAATCCTTGGGAAATGTGTATCATTCTGCGTTTGGAATTCACATAAAACAGTAAGGATGTAAAAAAAATCTTCCCCTCCATGAAGTTTTTTGAGATTGACTCCTCCCCTAAGTGACTATCCAGTCCCTGCCTTCTCTCTGCTGGTCAGACACATCTGCCCACTCAGCTACCCCATGCTCACCCCACCCCAGCCTCAGCTCAGGAATCCAGCCAGCATGGCCCATTGGAAGGAATCAGATTTGAGGCCCAGCCTGATTTCCTCCATCTCATAGCCACTTGTGATTTCTCCAATTCAGCTAGGAATCTGTTACCAAGAATTTGGTGTTTTATCTCTAGTAGGTGGTAGACCTGAATTTGAAGTCCAGACTTTATTCTTTTTCTGTTTTAATATACTTTTATTGATTCAGAAAGGGAGAGAAACATCAATGTTGAGAATCATGATTGGTTGCCTCATGCACACCCCCTACTGGGGATCGAGCCCACAATCTGGGCATGTGCCTTTGACTGGAAATTGAACCTGGGACCCTTCAGGCCGATGCTCTATCTACCGAACCGAACAAGCTAAGGCCAGGCCTATTCTTTCTAGCACTGCCATAGTCTGGGACACCATGGCTCCTAACGAGACTTAACATAAATTTTAAAAAATGTAAATGGGCCGAAACCGGTTTGGCTCAGTGGATAGAGCGTCAGCCTGCGGACTGAAAGGTCCCAGGTTCGATTCCAGTCAAGGGCATGTACCTGGGTTGCGGGCATATCCCCAGTAGGAGATGTGCAGGAGGCAGCTGATCGATGTCTCTCTCACATCGATGTTTCTAACTCTCTATCTCTCTCCCTTCCTCTCTGTAAAAAATCAATAAAATATATTTTTTAAAAAAAAGTAAATGGAACCTGGCTGGTGTACCTCAGTGGTTGAGCATCAACCTATGAACCTGATCAATTTGATTCCCTGTCAGGACACATGCCTGGGTTATAGGCTCAATCCCTGGTGGGGGATGTACAGGAGGCAGCTGATCAATGATTCCCTCATCGGCTCTATCTTTCTACAATCACGTTAGACCCCTTCTCTCAGTAGCCAAAATGCCTTCCTAGGTGGGACTGGGGGGGGGGGGGGGTAGCACTGAGAAAAAAACACTGGTTTGTCATTCCACTTTTTTATGCATTCACTTGCTGATTCCTTTATGTGCCCTAACTAGAGATCAAACCTGCAACCTTGGCATGTCAGGACAACAGTCTTACCAACTGAGCTACCTGGCCAGGGCAGCTTCCTAGGTTAAAAGTATAAATGTGGAATATTACAAATCACTGTCTTACATATCAAAGACAGTATTAAGTATGGTAAAGTCATCCTCCTAAAAAGAACTGGAAATTAAACTGACAAGAACTGTCTGGAAATTACATTACCTGTGTGCAGAAAGCAGGGGAAGTTACTAAAACTAGATAAGGGGATGGAGTTCATTGTACCACTTTGTAATGTTGGACATTTTCCATACATTTACAAAGCAAGCCATACACATCACATAAACCATACATGAAGTGGGAAACGCAGGGACTACAGACTAGACTGGAACTCCAGGGGCAGTTAAGACTATGCCCCTTCTCAGGGCCAGGTCCATATGAGCCATTCACACCAGGGCACAAAGGATGGGAATAAAGTTTTGCAAGGGGGTAGCCAGTGCCCCATGCAGGGGGCGGGGGGGCCTGTGAAGGGCTCCAAGAGCAGTGTGGCTGGAAACCTAGCCAAGTGGCCAAAGCCAGGTGCAGGAAAGCCTGGAAGACCATGTGAAGGGCCCTGGGCTGGTGGTGTAGCAAGGCTCTGTTATGTCCTGTCCTACAGGATGAAGGAAAACTACATTTTGCTAAGCACTGACGGCCCTGGGAGGAATGTCCTGAAGTTTAAGCCCCCAATGTGCTTCAGCCTGGACAACGTACAACATGTGGTGGCAAAGCTGGATGCCATCCTAACAGGTAAGCGTAAAGCCCCGTGTCCAGCTGACCATGTGCCCAGGACCCAGCCCAGCAGCTACAATGGTCTAGTGTACTCAGGGGAAGGGGGTGGAACAGCTGAGCTAGGTATCCTCTGGACAGTGCAGGAAGCAAGGAGCTCAAGTGGAGAGGGGGGTCTTACTGACCCAGGTCACTTCTATTTCTGCCTGTGCTGGTGGGGCTTCCCAAGCACTGGGGAGGTGGGAGCTGAGCCACTCCCAAGGGCTATGCATGCAAAGCTGTGGGCAGGGGTGGCCCCCTAAATAGGCAAAGTCCCCTCTCTTAGATGATCAGAACCACCCCTCCCTGTCCTCCACCTCTGGGCTATTTCACTTCTGCCCCCAGGGCTCCAGAGCTGATTGGGAAGTGGTATAAAACTTGCTGGATGAGGTGAGGCACACTAGCTTAGGTTTCCTATAGGAGCCTCTGGTTGAATCTGGGTCTTGGGAAACTTGAGGGCAGGCTTTATCCTTTGGGAATATTGTTGCTGATCCTGTGGCTGGTGCCACATATATATAGGTCAAGTGTGGGGGATCATGGCCCTATCCAGTGAGCCCAACTCCAAACTGCCATCCAAGAAGCTTAGACACTGAAGGCAGGAGGAGCCTTTAGCAGAAGAGAAAGGTTAACCAGTTTGGGTGGCCATGGGGTCTTTTTCAGACATGGAAGAAAAGGTGAGAAGTTGTGAGACACTAAGGCCCCAGCCCTCTGGTAGCCCTGCCCTGTCATGTCCTTTACTAGGTGAGTAGGCCACAACTGGGTTCCTGAACCATTCTGTACCCCCCAGGAAACCAAGCTTTTTTTTTGTAAATTTTGTTTCAAGTAATGTCCCCCTCCCATAGGGTACTTCCAACATTGGGAGGCTCTGGCTACCTTGAACTCTCTCCACACACCCCTGCCAGAAAATCTCCCAACTGTTTGCATTTGTTGGCTGAGGCAAGAGGGCAAGAGCAGCCACGTCCTCCCCAGCCAGTTCCTTCTAGGAGTGAGGGGAAACAAAACTCCTTTTCAGGCTCCAACCACCTAGAGCCAGTCCCACAGCCTGCTGCCTCCTCTTGCCACCAGACTTGAGGTGCTCCAATCCAGCAGCAAATAGGTGCTGCCGGAGTAGGCTATTACATTTCAGCCAGGAGGGGGCATCCTTGATTGTAGGTTCACTGTCCTGGAAGACAGAACCCCGTTTTAAGAAAGGCGTTCTAAGGTGTCTCAGAATTCCTACTGCACAATTTTCACCCCCATGAACAGCTGCCTTACACCTCCAGCCATTTCCTTCCTTTAAAGGGGCCCAAGTCCTACGCACCGCATATCCCACACTCACCCAGGCTTAGGGGTTTTTACATTTTTATTTCAAAAGCTTGGATAGCTTCAATATCCAGGTCGTGGCAAAATCAGGACACGTGTAAAATACCTTACAATACATTAGATTCCCAAAAGGTACCAAAAAGTACAGTAAAATTAACACTTCCATTACAGGAAATGTATGACACAAATAATATAAAATTAAAAGGTGAAAAAAGGTGACACTGGTTTCCTAAGATAGACTTTTTTACAACCAGGGTCCACAGGTCCAGGATGCAGAGCGGCAGCAGGAAACTGACCCTCCCACCTGGTTCTGGGTAACCCGGTAATAAAATCAGCCCACAAAGCCGCTCTGGCCTCTGAGACACCACACGCTGCCTAAAACAACTAGAGCTCTGGAAATAGTAAACAAGAGAGTGATTTCCAGGGGGGAAATTTTAAATAAGATGCACATGGGACAGGCCATAGAAAGTATGCCAAGTTAAATTTGGTACATAATTGTTTGTGTTCACTCAATATCCAAACAAAGCGTGTGCGGTCAGACGGGCACTCTTGCCGAAGCCTCAGTATGGCTTGTAGTTATTCTGATGGCCACCACGTCGCTGGCTCTTCCCGTAATTCGTACTACCCTGACCTAGGGACAAGAACAACAATGATAGCAGCTAGATTTATTGAACATTTATTCCTGTGCCAGGCGCTTGGCTCAAATCCTCACCAGAGCCAACACCCCTGGGGCAGGCTACAAAGCCCAGCCTGTCTGACTCCAAAAGCCCCTGCTGCCAGTGACCCCTGCACTTTCTGTCCTGCCTCCCAGGTGGGTGACTGGATGGGGCCTCCCTCTCTCCTACTTACTGTAGTCGTATCCGGGGCCGTAGCCGTAATAGCCATAGGGCGAGTAGTCGTAGCCGCCATAGCCGGGCCCGTAGCCCTGCTGGTAGCCGTAGCCCTGGTTCCAGTAGTTGCCGTAGCCCTGATTCCAACTCTGACTCTGACCTGTGGGGGGAGCAGGGCACAGGGGCCCATGGACCATTTAGCACACGTAGGAGCTAGGATGGAGGAAATCCTGCCCTTTGGGTGGCGGGGTTACTATGGCAACTCAGAAGTAGAAGCCAAGGAAGGGGCTGCTGTCCTGATTTAACAGAGCCCTAACCTGACTCTGCACTTAGACCCAAGCTGCAGAGGAAGACATAACGGAACCTAACTTCTCTCAGGGCCAAAGAGGCAGGGACTCATTCTCACTCAAATCACCCTCTGATTACCCAAATCCTCTCTGGCAGCTTGGCCTTAAAAAAGATAGAGTTCAGGCTTTGGAGTCAGAGGGCCTAGGGCAGAAGGAGATAAAGCGCCTGGCACAGACAGCCCTGCCCTACCTTCTGCCCGCCCACCCACCCATGGGTGGACCAAGACTCAGGACAGCCAGAGAGCCCATCAGGCTCCTCACCCCTCCCCTCTCAAAGTACAATATAAATCTTCCACTGCCCTGGGGCCCCAGACCACATGGGAAATATGGGCTCTTCCACTCCAACCAACAGCAGCAGCACAGCCCGGACCCAGGAGAGCCATTCCTGTCCCTGCCCACCCTGCCACACCAGAGACCAGAGTAAGCCCCCAAGACAGGCATGGAAGCTCCATGCAGGCAGGGAAACCAGGCCCATATTCATCCGTGTTCCACTCACCTCCTCCACTTCCACCGCCACCACCACTGCCTCGGTTCCCTCTGTTGCGGTTTCCACGGCCCCCAGAGCCATACTGCTGCTGTTGATAGACTTTTCTGGGCAGAGCCACCTTGATTTCACACTACAAGCCAAGAGGACAGGAAGTCAGGCCACTGGGACAAGTTCTGGGGGGAGAGACTGTAAATGAAGGTCGTTGTGCACAAACATTCAGACCTGGTCCGTCTTAATAATAAAATATGGTAGGGTGTGAAACCACATTTGGGCTAGAAGTTCTGAGAACCATAACTAAAACCTAAACAAACCAAGATTCACATTAGAGCCTTTTTGGCTCAAACCTTCCCCCAGAGAATGTACTGGGAATGATGGATACAAACCCAGGGTTAGGACAGCTCCATGTTTAACAATTGGGAGAGGGACAGCAGGGCCAATGCCAGCTCAGTATAGCAAAACACACCAACTGTCAGGTCTACTACCACCTTAGTCCTACACTAAGCAGGGAGGTCAGAGGCTACCCGGATGAGAGCCAGAGAATAAGTACATTTTCTGATTTTACTTTTTTACAGGAAAAAAAAAATGAAGCATCCTACTCAAATGTATAGTGGTGACCCTGACTTCCAACTTACAGAGGAAGAAAGCCACTGAGGCTCAGGGCAGAGCTTGCCTGAAGCCAAACTGCTACCGCTATCCCTCCCCCAACCACTGGTCTGTATTTGGGATGGGCCAAAAGCCCTATGTATGTCCCCCAGAGTCTGTGTCTGCTTAGCTCAAAAACCTGCCCACTGTGGGTGGAGGTAGGGTCAAGAACCGTCCAGTGCTCCTGTTTAAATAAATTAGAAGTGTATTTTTAGAAGTACACTGAAAAAAGAACAAAATAAAAATAAAACCCTGGCTGGTGTGGCTCAGTTGGTAGGATATTGTCCTGTCCACTGAAGGGTTGCTGATTGACTCCTAGTCCAGGCACATGCCCAAGTTGCTGAGTTGCTGGCTGAATCCCTGGTGGGGGTATGGAGGAGGCAGCCAATTGATGTTCTGCGCTCACATCAATGTTTCTCTCCCTTCCCCTCTCTGAAAATCAATTTTAAAAATAAAAATTTTTAAAAGGGGGGGACATATCTGTAATACTTTTAACAATAAAAATAAAATTAAAAAAAATGCTCTCCCTCCCTAGCTTTCATGTCCCCCTCTACACCTACACCACCACCCCCTATGCCTTTTCCTTTCCCTCTAAGTTCCAAGGGCCCTTCTTTTGCTTTTTTAACTTGTTTTCTGAGCCTACACAGCCCAACTAGCTCACTTCTACTACCTCTAACTTTCTAAATGAACTTTCTCTTATAATTTGAAGAAATAAAATAAAAAATAAAGTACCCTGACACATACTTTGCCCCCAACTAAGACCAGTGAAAAAACATTCCACATAGCTGTCCCCATATAAGCATACTCCTATAAAACTGGCAAATTACCCCCACCAGTGATGCAATCTGATGTTTTCTACCCTACCGAAATACAACTAAATAAAGCATTTCAAGACCCACTCCCAGCAGTGACTAGTACTGCCCTCTAGGTTCTTCCTGCCCATTTTTCATTATGGCAGGAAAAAAAGGCCTGGCGATATCCCTATCCACTGGGCTAGCTAATGGATGGTGTCTTTTCCAAATGTCCCCTAGGATCCAATCTCATTTTACATGAAATTTAAGAGTCCAATCCAATCTTTCTAAATTCCCAGCCAGGGTACCGAAGTTTTCAGGAGCCCCACCCTACCTGTCCAACTTTATCTGGCTGCCACTCCGGCACAGACAGAGCCTGTCACACCCTGCCACACCCTCAACACGCAACTGCCACCTGGAAAATACTTAAAAAAGCCATACTACCCTCTCTCTAGACCAGAGTTCAGGTGTGGTAACAGCTATATTTCTCACTTCTATTCATTCGAAGGCAAACTGGCCCTGGGTATAAATGAGCCAGGACCCTGGGGGCTCTTTGGGAAGGATCTTGCTAGGATGGATTTGACTAAGCCAGTATCCAAAGGGGATGGAGAAGAATAAAGATTTGGTTTTGGAAGCAATAAGATAGAAAAGCTCTGCAGCAGTTTCTATAGTAAGCAGGACTTCACTGCCAGGGAAAGAAATCAGTGAACGGCTAAGTTCCAAAATCTTCTGAGAACTGCAAATCTTAGACTCTAGATTCAGACCATCTTAAGCTCTAGCTTTAAAGAGACTACTCAGCATACTACTCTGTTTTTACTGCCAGGCTAAGAGCTCCTTGAAGGCCAGAACCATCTGCCCCCAATCAGGGCAGCAGACCATCAGAGAAACAATGGGGTCTCACTACCCTGGAGAGCCCTTGGAGGCAGCCCAACCCCTAAGCCACACCTGCAAGGGGCAGACCTCTCTCAGCAAGAGGCCAGACACACATTAACTGCAGACACTTTACCTTACTTCCACTAATGGTGTGGAACTTTTTCTCTAGAACCTTCTTCACAGGTTCTTCCTCTTCTTTAAAGGTGATGAAAACAAAACCTCGTCGTTTGTTTGACTTTGGATCCATTGGAAGATCAATGGCCTCGATCTGTAAACACAGGCAAAAGCTCAGGACCAGTACCTCCCCAGGGCTCACAGGGAACTGGATGGAGAAAAGGTCCATGAAGGCCAGAGAACGATAAAGCAGCCTGGCTGAGGAGGGTTCCTCGAGTCAGCCAAGGCGGTCACGGACCAGGAAGGCCACCTCAGGGCAGAGGGCAGGCCACTCACCTCCCCAAACTCGCCAAAGT